TAACTTGCCCAAGGTCACACAGCTAGCAAGTTGCAGAGCCAGGTTTGGATGCCAGCTTCGGCTATACCCTGCTGCCTCCTTCTATAAATATCTACGAAGTGCTTAGTTCTTTGCAAGTTGATTTGCAACCTATTAAGGACTCAAGCTACATTAGGGCTTCTGGGGAACCCCTCGTCAGCTACTCCATGGGCCTGGCTCCAAGAAAGCCAACACTCCAGAGCCTGTTAATTACTCGAGGGCTTTTGGGAAAGGTGGTCAGCCTTGGGTAAGGAATGAAGCACGGCTGCGGTCCCTTTGAAAGGCCCGACAGGAAATATCTTGCGTCAGTCTCGACTGCTGAAGGACATATTCAAGTGGATGACACTCAGCAGGTTTGAATAACACATTCCTCAAGTGCTCTGAGTTTCTGACCAACAATAAAAAAACCTCCGTAGTTAGACTTCTCTTTCTGGATTCTCACTGCCAGGGACACTGGAGTTAGATAGTTTTTAGGTGTAGATTTCATATGTACAAAACCCTTCACAGAGACTTAATCTGGAAACTTCATAAAGGACTGGATAGCATTCTTCATGGAAGTCCTGCTAGTACTGACTGCTGTCCCTTTGAAGGATGGATAATCCCTCTCCTTATCCCCTAGTTAAAATACTCTCTTTCCTCTATTATTTTGCCTCTATTGTAAACTCTCCCCTCGTCAAGACCTGGAAAATGTGCCTTCTTTCTCTTATTTCCTTTCCCTCATCTCACTCATCAGTGTGAAATCTATGCCTCACACTTCGGAAGGCTCACCAACTTTAAATTCTTAATAGAACAAGGGAAGGCACATTTCAATTTTGTTCTGGGTCACACAAAATCATGTAGCCATGCCTGCTCCCTGCTGTTCACATTGAGATAGGGAGAAGACTCATTACACACAAGATATGATGGTCTCCTCCTTTTGCACTCAGCAAGCATTTTCTCATTGAGGCGATTCATATAGTTGGATGAGCCCATGAGAAATCCTCCCTCTTTAGCCTCAGTTTCTTCCTCTCTAAAAAAGGAACAATAACACTTACCTGCAAGTTATGAGCACTGAGTGGGATTGTGTATAAAGTACCTACTAGAGCTGGGTGTGGTGGTGCACACCTGTAATCCCGGTAAATCAGGAGTGCAAAGCTGGCCTTAGCAACTTAGTGAGGCCCTAAGCAACTTAGGGAGACTGTGTTTCAAAATAAAAAATAAAAAGTGTTGGAGATTTAGCTCTGTAGTTAAATATTCTTGAATTGGAACTCAAGTTCCCCCAAAAAAGTACCTATCAGAGCACCTGGTACATAGTAGGTATTTGCTAAAGGAAATCTGGGGGTCACAGCAGGTGCAGCAAAAGGTCTTCAACTAAGATAAGTCAGAAATCAAATTAATCTCACTGCTTAAAAAAAAAAAAACAAAAAAACCTGTGATCTCAGCTAGGTAACTTAGTTTTTCCCAGCCTTAATTTCTGTATCTGTAACATGAAAATGATAATATTTACCTTATATAATTATTTTGAGATTTAAATAGTTTAATATATTTAAAAAAAACACCTGGCATCTTGTAGGAGTTCAAAAGTGGACAATAATTCTTTGGGTCCCTTGTAACACTGTTTCTACACTCAAAAATGATCCACTTGTGAATGATGCTTGGGATATAACTGTTAAAATGTGCTATATACTCCATGACTTCCTGTATACTCTTCCTGTAACATTTTTGTATGTTAAAATAGTTTTATAAAAATATTTGAGGAATGTTTTTTCTTCTTTGCTAGACTATGAACCTAGCAATTCAAAGACTAGGTAGTAGAAGGGATCAAAAATAGCACCATCACACATGGCCCGTATTGCTACCTCCTTGGGTCTGGTTCTTGCTCCATTAACAAAGCTATTTCATTAGGGAAACAATTTCATGCAACCCACCACCTTTCTTGGCAGCAACCTATACAAAGAGACCACTGGGGGAAAAATTTCCTTAAATCCTAACAGCTGAGTCATATTTGACGCCCCTTAAGAATCAAAGAAGCCTTAGAACTGTGATTTTTCACCATTTGGAGGTTTTAGGTCCTTTTAAGAAATTCTGTTAGTTGTGGAGATTCTCTCCAGAAAAATATATCTAAGATCTTAGGTTCAATTTCAAGGTGTTCTGAGAATCCCCAAAGCCCCTGAACCCTGGGTTAAGAATTCTTATTAGAATAGCTCAGGAATATGAACTAGAGATGGGAAAGAGTCAACTTTCCTGATGAGTTCCAGCCCTGACTAGTCACACTCCCTTGCTGAAAACAAAACCAAACAAAATGAAACAAAACAATCATAACTCCCTGTATTTAACCTCAAGGTTATCCCTGAGGGCCCAGTTCCAGGCAGTAATGATAAAGATTTCTAGCCAAGCTGTGGCTGCTCTTTGGAGAACCCAAGTTCAGCTCAGTAAAATGAAGCCTATTTGATAATATCGTTTACATTTCCAAATCCTGGGTATCAAGCTTTCTTCCTATCCCTTGTGGCCCTTCCTAAGTTTAGCTGCTGGTGTAATGGGGTAACCATGGCAACAACCACCTGCCTATTTAAAACCATCTCCAATGCTAAATAAGGAAGCCTAGAGAAAATGGCTGCTTGCCTGCCTCTCAGTGGACAAACTGAGCACTCCTGGGTATTTTGGACATGGGCAAGCAGGCAGAAAAGAAGCAGTATGGACCCAAAGCTCTTAATAGGAAGAGTTTGGTGACCTTGTGAAATAGAGGCAACATCCTATGTCATCATTTCTTTAAATGCAAATATAGGTGTCTGTCACCCATGGTGACTGTATCACAACACCTTGACCTCAACCAGGTAAAGAGTGAGGCATGAACCTAACCTCTGAGAGTAGTAGTCCTATTAAGGAAGTCTGCAAAGTGGGAAAGAAAATGGTTTATATAGATCACAGTAGCTTTGTTCATACTGTGTTTTGCACAGTACATTTTTTTTTCTGACAGATGTATCTTTCTAATTGTATTTAATCGTGTGGATGGCTGATGATTGCTCTGTTCATGTCATATGTTGACCTACTGATTTTTTGGAATTTGGAGAAATTTCTCTCCCCCTCTTTCCTCGTTCTCTACAAATTACGGAGATTTTGCTTGTTTCCCATGCCAAGACACTATACAACCAGCTGCAGTGAATGACTTCCTTTCCCCCAAGCATGCTGCACCCTCACTCCTTTGTATTTTTTCCTACATTTGGTTCCTTCTCTCAGAGTTACCCTTCTCCTTTTGCCAATCTGGAAAACACTGTTTTCTGTGTCTTGGATGGGGCATTTCTCTCATTAGAAAACCCTCCATGCCAAGTTCCACACTCTTGCTTTGTATTGCCATCGGTTGCGTCTATCCACATCACTTAACAGACCATGATGCACATCTGCTTTCCATTCTGTTTCCCCCAAAGGGCTGGGAGTGCCCTGCACCAGTCCATCCAAAACACCTCTAGAATAGTGTCTGGTAGATAGAATGTTTTAAAAAAATACTGTTGGATAAATGAATGAATGAACAGAACGTACAGATTTCACAAGCAGATGGAATGTTCAGACACATGAGTGTGAGCATGTGTCAGGGTACTTGTGCGAATCCTGTGGAATGGGTGGAAGAAGAGTATTTAAAAAAACTGTGTAAATATTCGGGCGTGAAGAAGATTGAGAGGAGAATCAACAGAATTGCAAGTTTGAGACTACAGTGGTAGGGGCTGGAAATATAGACGTTTAGCAGTGTGGAGTGAGTGTGCAGGATCTGTGAGTGTTAGGAGTGAGAAGGAATAGGCTGTGACAGAATACACATCCTAATAAAGTTACTTCAGCTGTGATTAGATCCCACAGATCGCTCTTCCAGAGGAGGAAGTAGCTTCATTATGTTTAGTTTCTGATCCTTAAAAAGGCTTGCTTTTTCTTGGTTAGGCCCTCCCCCCCCATCCAGGCTGTGGGGTCAGGGCAAAGAGCAATAATAATAATGTCCGGCTCTTTCGGGGTGCTGGGCTTTAAATGACTGTCTTCAGACCCTTTAACCTCTGCTTTGAAGAGAATTCTGTGGGGTAAATAAATGTCAATTCCCTCATGTTCAAAGATCAAGTCCAAAGTATTATCCACCCTACTCCCTACCTGCCTGAGGTTTGGGTGGGATCCTGTGGTCACCTTGAAATAGTACAATAAAATGGAAAGAGAAAGAATGGAAGTCAGCTAATGAGAAGAAGAAGAGAAAGAAGTAAGAAGGGAGAAAGGCAATTTTGACAATCCCAGGGGTAGCTATGTGCCCAGTCAGAACTCAGTTCTGGTAAATTCCCTCTGGCATGCAAGAAGGGTTTGGTTTCCTTTGCAAAAGACGTGGTTTTCTCTTCCCTTTCATTTTTTAATCTAATATCTAGACTGCACACAGGGCGCCCAGGCTCAGGTGGGGCCTGGTGGGCTCCAGGTCTATTGCCTTTGCACGTACCACTCTGCTGCTGCCCTCTGCTGTCGGGGAAGGAAGAGGCGACGCCCTCCTGGCACTCTGGGTCCAAACCCCAGGGCTGCCACCACCTCCCATGTAGGACCTAAAGAAGCTGAGTCCCTTGCACCCTTTCCAGAAAAAAAACGCGGGGCCGGGGCAGGGTTTGGGGTGGAGGTGCTGCACCTTTTGAGGAAGCAGCCAAGCCCCCGCAGGGGCTTCAGTTTGCCAAGGACAGACTCCCCCCACTACCCGCAAAGGCGGGCACCCCACGCCCCTTCCACCCCCACATCCCTCCCTCTGCACAGATCCTCTGGGAGGGACTGAGGGACAGGCTGCCAGACTGTGGCAGGTTTCTGACATTTTTTTTTTCTTTCTTTTTCTTGGAAATGGAAACCCTCCTTCCGGCAACGTGGCAGGGAAGCGAAGTCCCGGGGTGGCCAGGCCAAGAACATTTCCGTAGGAGCAGGTGGGAGGCCCGGGTCTGGCTGGCTGCACTGGGCAGGGCAGCTGGGCGGGGCAGCGGAGCAGCCAGCTTGCAGCCTCTTACCTGCTGTTGAATTTTTCAGGGTGTTTCTCTCTCATCATGTGGAATCTGTGTGCAATGGAAGCATCCTGAAAGCGAAAGAGAAGGCAGAACCCTGGTTAGTGCTTCTAATGGTGTGTGTGGCGGAAGGGATTGCACCCATGCCTTCACCGGATCCCACAACCCTGAGATTCCATCTCACAGGGGAGGCTCCAGATCCCAGAGGCCCAACACCAAGTCCAAGGGTACAGTTAGTGCCGCCAATACTCTTAGAGGTGCCCTGGTCCACTCCAGGGCCCTTGCAGTGAGCACTCCATCCCTGGCCCAGGGAGAAGCAGAGAGTTAAGGGATGAGTGAATGGGGAAAGCCCAATTCTTTGAGGGGAATGAGGGTCTGTGAGCACGTAGACAGAAGGAGGCTGGGAGTGATTTTTTGGGTATGCCTTGCCATATTAAATGGTTTTGTAAAATTCTTTTTATTTTGGAATATTTTGACTCACAAGAAGTTGCAAAAATAGTTCAGAGTTCCTATGTCCCTTTCACCCAGCATTCCCCAAGGAAAACATCTTACATAACTACAGTACATTGCGAAAACCAGAAAGCTCATGTTGGTTGGTATTAACTCTTCTTCTTTTTTTTTTTTTTTTTCCTGACCTGGGGATTGAACTCTAGAGCACTTGACCACTAAGCCACATCCCCAGCCCTATTTTGTATTTTATTTAGAGGGACTCACTGAGTCTCAGGGTTTCACTGAGTTCCTTAGCGTCTTTTTTGCTAAAGCTGGCTTTGAACTCACAATTCTCCTGCCTCAGCTTCCTGAGCTGCTGGGATTACAGGCATGTGTCACTGAATGGTTTATATATTAATTCTTAATCATTCATGTTAGTAGAAATAACAAATGACAATGGATAATATATCTGGTAGATAATTAGAAAACATACTGGCTTTTGCTTCTTGATGATTCCATCTAAAGGACTGCTTCCAAGGTCAAGGAGAATGTTAAAACACATCGTACTGACATTTTCTTATACTCCCTATTGGCATATCCTTTGGTGCACTCTTGGCGACTGGCACCTCAGAACTCCCCATAAGGATGGCTGTCATGACCCCATGCTTCCAGGCTCTCTAACCTCTGATCCAAACTTCTTAGCCCTGAATTTTATGTGCAACCCACATTCCCATTGTGGGTAGTCCCATGAGTTGTTTCTCATGGTTGTTTCTAGCATCTAGATGCTGGTAGGTCCACAATGTATAGCTCTAGAACCGACCCTGAGCTTCAACCCTAAAAATGGACTCAACTTTCCTCTTCAAACCTGTTCTTCCACCCTCATTAATTGTCTTGTTTTCTAGCAAAAGAATGTGTACAGCCCCACCCCCTCCAACCACCACCACCCAGGCCCCATGCCAGCATACTGGGTGCAGGTGCTGGGCTTCAGAAACAAGCAGGCTAATTGGGCTGGAGATGGGGTGACCCAGAAACAAGGGAGCTGATTCAGATTTGTTCAGGAACAACAACAACAAAAACTTCAGAAACCGATTTGCTGGAATATGTGGCTAAAAAATGCCTGAAATTCCATCCAGCAGATTTTTAGCTAATGCATATTCCATTTCTCTATAAGAAAACTCTACAAAAGATCATTTGTGAATGCTGATTAAAAAAAAAAAACACAAAAAAACCCATCAGGAGGTATAGTTCAGTGAAGAAGCATTTTTGAGCATGTAGTGTGTGTAGTGAGTTGCACTTGGAATCAGAGTGACCCCAGCCAGCAGCCACTATCTGATAAATGGAGAGAGCAAGCACATCAAGAAGATGAGTTTGCTGGGCAGCGTCACATGCCTATAATTCCATCAGCGCTGGAGGCTGAGACAGGAGGGTTGCAAGTTTAAAGCTAGCCTCAGCAACTTAGTGGAGGTCAAAAAACAACTCAGTTGAGACCCTGCCTCTAGATAAAAAAATATTTTTTTCAGGAAAAAAAAATAGGGAATGAGGCTCACTGGTTAAACACCACCAGTACAAAAGAAAAAAAAAAAGAGCTAATTTTATGTGTGGCAAACATTCCTTGCTGAAATAATGTCTTGGGAGTTTAACAATTAAACTTTACATACTGATTTTATTTTTAAGACATATCAAGAGTTAAAGTCTGGGTGAGGTCCCTCTGTGCAAGTGGTGGGAAGTGTGCAAACCCCAAGGAGGCCTCCTTCCCACCCCCTGGACCCACACAGCTTGGCCTGAGTGGCTTCTTTGGGCAACAGCATTTCATGCTCCCAGGCTCCCATCACCACCCTAGCTTGGAGCAAGTTTCAGTGAACATGCTCAATAAGATTCATGTGACATTGTCAAGTGCTTCTCTAGATTTCAAGAAAACATTCCATCTACTTGTGTTCCTTTGAAGCACTAATTTTCCTCTGTCAGAAAAATTTTAAAAAAAGAAAAGAAAGAAAAAAGCAATCGTATATTGCTTGGCACAGTTTGTACTTCACTATCCCTCCCTCCAGTACAGCTGGGACTGGCTCCTGGTTCATACTTCTCTGGGATATTTGCACAGGCCCCTCCCTTTGTATAGTTCTCATCGTCCTTTGTTTTTCCATAACAAGAATTTCCAAAGACTAGCCTTTAAAATATTATTAGTTTAGCATGTGGTTCCTAATTTGCCAGTGTCATTCCTTGACAAATAAAGTAACCAGGGAGAGCTAAGTGGCTCCTTTGCTCTCAAGTCCTGAAAAGGTGATGGATCATCAGGATCCTGACCATGTTTCTCTATCTGGAGATGAAAAAGAAGAGTCGAGATTCTCTTTGCTCTCTTGAGCATCTCTGAGTCAAGGGCTGATCTTGGCATATTGACAATCAATAATGATTTCATTTGGATTTTGGAAATCAAGGCTACACCAAATCTTTTCTTGGTGATGATTACAGTAAAATGACACTTCCGTGATGACACCAAGTACTGGGAATTGCAAACTCATGGGAGCCATGATGCAGTTCTGATGGCCTCACTATCCGGAGTCTTTTTGGATGCAGCATGGGGTGAAGAGGAGACCAAGAAAGGTGTGGACGCGGGGCTGTTTTCCCTCAAGTAAAACTCTTAAGCACATGGTTGGACCAATAATTTTGGGCCCCTTTCAGTGTAAGAAGCTGTTATTTGGACTTTGAGATATTGGAACATCTAGGCCAGTGCTGTCTAGTAGATATTTAGTGTATGCGATATATGTAACTTAAGATTTTCTTGTAGTTACATAAAAAAGTAAAAAAGAAGCAGATGAAATTAAAATTTTGAAAATGTTTTCACATACAACATAAAGGTGAAATTAATTTTAGTAACATTTTAATTAACCTAATATTTCCCAAATATTATCATTTCAATGTGTAATCAATATTAAAAATTATTACTATTATTATTTTATTTATTTTTTTAAGGTGCTGGGGATGGAACCCAGGGCCTTATGCATGTGAGGCAAGCACTTTACCAACTGAGCTATATCCCCAGCCCCAGGGATATTTTAAGTTATTTTCTTCATAGCACATTTCTGAAATGTGGTGTGTATTTTACACTTACAGCACATCTCAATTTAGACAAGCCTCATTTCAAGTGCACAATAGTGACATGTGGCTCACAGCTGCCATATTGAACGAGGCAGGGCCAAGTCACTCTGGCAATTTAGGGAGATAAGAAGACACCAAGAGACAATAGGACAGGTTATTTGAAATTCAGATTGTTCTCAAAACTTATGGCAGATTGAGGAATGGAAAAGTGTAGACCCCTTGTCACTCCTCAGTGATTTCCATTGACTTAGTACCTTTCCTGGCAACAGATTAAAAACCTGATACTGAGCTGGACATGGTGGCTCATGCCTGTAATCTCAGTGACTCAGGAGGCTGAGACAGGAGGGTTGCAAGCTTTAGCCATTTAGCAAGACTCTAAGCAACTTAGTCAGACCCTGTCTCAAAATAAAAAGTAAAAGGGGCTGGGGATGTGGCTCAGTGGTTAAGAACCCTTGGGCTAACTCCAGTACTAAACAAACAAACAAACAAAAAACCCATCTGAAGCTGATTGATTCCAAAAGTTTGCAGGCAACTGATGCCTTGTTCACAAATTCCCTAATGGGCAGGAGGCTCGTCATTGTGGAAAACTTGGTTGGTGAACTCTAAAACAATCTGTAAGGTGGAACATGGCACATGGGTTGGTGTGACGACTGTGGTTTTTCCTTGGCCCCTAGGCTCCCCTAGCATCTGAAATAGATTCATTGAATCAAGGGATTAGCTGTTCACCCATACAGTTAAGGCTCAGTGAAAGCAGAGCCTTTGAGGAGTTCAGAGTTACGCATTCTCCAGGAATTATTTTGTAGTTCCAAACTTCCTGTCACTGATACCTGGCTATCCTGACATTTCTGCCTAGTCCAAAAATAGATAGGAGGGAGGAAGAAGCCAGAGGAAGTGGTGTCTTGGATATGGCTATGCTAAAAATTTCTTGCCAGTGGATATTCTCAGTAAGAAGGACCAATAAGGCCAATTATCTTAGGTCCTTATAGCTGGCCTGTGAATGGAGATGTGGTGGCAATGAGGCCATAGTCATTCCCTGGAGTCTTATTTAATCCTCCATCTATTAAATAGGTCCTGTAAGTACCAAAGGGACTGTGTGAACTCATCAGGGCAAATTCCCATCTACAGCACCCAGGGTGCCATAGCAATGGTGACTGTCATCATCTTTATGATGCAAGGCAGCAGCCACTTGGTATCAATAAGCTATTCCATGTCCTTCAGAAGAGGCATAGACCTTGCAGAAATCTCTTTGCCAAAGGAGTTTGACTCTATTTAATCATCATCAGGAGGTAAAACTGGGTTGGTTTACATACCTACTTCTCCTCTTACGAAGTTGGGGAAGTCAAATAGGGAGCAAGACCTTCTGCAAATGTCAGCCCCAGACTCTGTCAGGATTGTGTGTTGGTTACTTGTTTTCTCAAGATTTCCTCTTTCCAACTTTTAAAGAGCGAGCACACAAATGATGCAAACGTTTTGTTGAGAGAAGGCTAAGGGTGCACCAAAATGAGATAGGAATTTCTAGTCCCTCACTCCTGTGCAATACATGCACAAACCCAATGTATAAGAAAAAAAATTCATGAGGAAGAAATTGTGTGGGTCTTCATAATTTGAAAAATGAACACATTGGATATTATCAGTCATCCCAGGACAGAAAAACATTTTGACCTTTGAGGATGATAGAGAATGTTTCTATGTTTTCTTGGAGGATGATTAGCTGGCTCACCCTTCCTTCCTTCCTTCCATTTATATTTTCAAGAATGAATTGTAATTTGCAATTTCAAGAATGATTACTGATCAGGCTTGGCTCTTGGCTTTAGGGTCCAGCTATTTAGTTTAGAGAAGGTTGTATATTTCTTTTTGTGTATCCATTTATTTGGGGAAAAAATACTAAGAGAAGTCCACTTTATGCAGCCACTAGATCGACAGAGACAGACAAGGAGATGCTGGGAATCATGTTTTTGCCAGCTACAGCTGAGTGTGTGGGAAGATTTGGGGCTGAAGATTCTGAAGGCAGCCATGACTGTACCTTTCCATCTGGAATCTTCCATGCAGCCCACCCAGCCTCCCTGCTCATTGCTTATATGGGCTAACACTTCCTGCTTTCTAGATTCCCTCTCCTTCGTTTAATTCAGTTCTGATTTCTGTGTCCTGAAGAACCACTTCCCTTTGATCATTCTTTTCTGTTATGATGGGCTGTCTTCCCTCTCTGAAGCCCTGGTCAGGATCATCTGCATCAGAATGATCTTAGAAGCTTGTTAAAAATGCGAATTCCCACTAGCACATGCCTTGTAATCCCAGCTGGGAGAATGCAAGTTCAAGGCCATTCCTATGTGAAAATAAAAAGGGCTGGGGATGTAGCTCAGTGACAGAGCACTCACCTAAGCATGTGTGAGGCCCTGGGTTCCATTCCCAGCAAAATGCACGCACGCACGCACGCACGCAAGCAAATTCCCAGACTTCCTGAGTCAGAATATGAATCAGAATCTGTTGTGAGCAGAATCTGCATTTCTGATAAGTGGCCCTGTAAGCCATTTTGAGGTACATCCCCCCACACCACCAAATACACACACAGTGTTGGCAGCAAGAAGATGGAAGGGGCTGTGCAGAGGCCACAGCTCAGCGGGCCCAGAGCTCAATGCTGAGGGTTCCAGGCTCCACCACCCAGGGGCTTGGACTCCTTCTGCAGCTCTCTAAGCTACCACTCCCTCTTATAAAACACAGTAAAAATTGCATGATGACTTCATGTACCAACATGGAAACTGGACCTGGTGTGCTTAATAGGTACTCAATAAATGTTAACGAGCTGTACTCTGGTTTCTGTTGGAAAGACCCAAGGTTTGGCAAAACATGATTGGGAGTCCATGTTCCAGGAGCCCTCTGGACACCAGACACTGGTCACATCTGACTGTTGGGAGCTGAAGATGGCAGTGCTCCAGTTGGGGGAAGTGGAACCAGGGTAGTAGGTCTGAAAAGGGGAGGGTTCTTAGAGCAAGAAGAGGCGGGAGGGTGTCTGCACTGGTCACTGTCACCAGGAAGAAGACACTAGGGGAAGATGTTCCCCTCACCTGAGGCTGGAGGCTGGGGGATAAACTAGCTTGGGGCACAGGAACCTCTAAACTTTCTCCTAGTCCATTATCTTCAGCCTCTCAGACCTGATAATGGGCTCAGCAATGCTGCTGTCTTCTGTTTTAGTCATAGAAAAAGAGTTCTGGATTAAGAATCAAAAATTAAGATGAGTGGTACATACACACAATGAAATATTACTCAGCCATAAAGAAGAATGAAATTATGGCATTTGCCGGTAAATGGATGGAACTGGAGACTATCATGCTAAGGGAAACAAGACAGTCCCCGCCAACCAAAGGCTGAATGTTTTCTCTGATATAGGGATTCTGACTCACAATGGTGGGAGAAGTATTGGAGGCTCACCAAGTTGGACAGGGAGTATTGGGGGAAGGGAGGGGGGATGGGAATGGGAAAAACAGTAGAATGAATCAGACATAACTTTCCTATGTTCATACATGAATACTCGACCAGGGAAACTCCACATCACGTACAATCACAAGAATGGGAAGTTATATTCCATGTATGTGTGATATGTCAAAATACATTCTACTGTCATGTATAACTAAAAAGAACAAATACAAAAAAAATTTTTAAAAAAGAAGGTCAAGAGTCCTATGTGTAAGCTAGGGAGGAAAAAGGAAAACGTGTGTGTGTGAATCTCATGAAAATCAAAAGGAGATCAGTAGCAAAGAGGGACCAGAGGGTAGGAGGTGGGAAGTGCTGGGGTGTGATATTGACCAAATCATTTTGTTATATTGCATGCAGGTATGAATATGTAACAACAAATCCCATCATTATTTCTAATCATGTATGATTAGAAAATGTGAAAAAAGTTAAGGTGAGTCCCTAAATTCAAGTCTCTGTTTCCCTCATTCATAAAATAGAGATCATAATTCCCTTCCAAGTAATCATGAGAATAAAAAGTAACTGAATATATAGTAAACTTTAAATTCTTCTGTAAATAGAAGATATTATTATATGTAATCCTTTCCTCTCCTGTGCTTCACCTTTTGCCTTCTTAGTAAAAAATAAAACACGTCCCTTCAACCTGCTATCCCCTCAAGCTACCCATCAGTCCCTTTGTGTTTTCTCACTATTATATTTTTTAACCACCAAATTTTTCAAAAGAGTTTGTGGAGTGCAGATGCCACTCAGCCTGGGGCCAGAGACTGGGTGAAGGGATTTGTATGCACATAAAACCTGGTAGCATAATTCCCAAGATGGGGAAACGGAGAGGAAGGACCCTGGGCTCAGGGTGAGTACAGTTGTTTGTGTTCTAGTTCTGCCTCTTATGAGTCAAGAATCCTGAAGGCTCTTCTGTAAAATGGGGATGATGGGAACAAAGGTCTCTGCAGCACTGCTGTGAGGACTAGACCCCATAAAGCCTATCAATGTGGAAAGCCTATAGTGGGTGCTCAATAAGTGTTAGTGTCCTGGCTGTAACTCCTCTCCCAAACCTTGGCTGTATTTGTGAACATGAGCCATCCTTTTACTGTCCCCTCCCCACCCATCCTGTCCCCAGCAGTATAGAAAGCAGTGCCCAATCAATGTTCTTTGGACCAGAAGCCGAGTTTAGCAAACAAGGTGACTGAGCTACAACTAGCTGTCCTGAGGGCTTGGGATGCCAGGGAACACGGTGCTGTCCTTGTGCTATGTGTGTGTTTATGTGTGTGCGTGTGTGTTCAGGAGGGCATGTGCTCTTGCATTGGTGAGTCAGGCACATCAAGCTAAGCCTTTCAATCAATGCAGAGTGTGCTGACAGGGTGGACATCAAGGACCAAGAGAACCAGGGAGTGGTCAGTCAGGAGGAAACGCCTCCTCGCAGAGGTTTATGAAGCACTTGGAGCACGTGTCCTGAGGAGAGGAAGAAATCCTGAGTGCTAAGCCCACCAAGCCAGGTGGGACCAGGGTCCTCCCTTGAGGATCAGAATTCCCAGTTCCTGAAGCCTATGTGAATGTTTCCTCCTGTTCCTGCCCCTTGGATATTTCTCAGTGTTGGTTTTTTTTGAACTGCTTCAAATTACCTAAAGGGTAAATATGTCTTTTGAAAAATTTCCAATCTTTCACTGTGTGTTAGTTAACATAATAGAGAAAACAATTTCCTCCATAATCAAGGGTTGGAAGGGCTGCGTTATCAGGATGTCCACACCTACAGCAGATTTCAGGATGCTCAGACACGAGTCAGGACTGAGGCAGGGCAGGACAGACCCAGAGGGGACAGTGGAAAACTGGAGCCCTTCTTGGGCATTTTTTTTACTATGCAAAAAGGTGACCCCTGAACAACTCACCACGCCAATGGAAAAATAGTTGTTCATGATGCTGTATGGAACCTGGTCCCCGTTCTCCACCTCCTCTCTGGGGATGACTTCCAGATACCAACGGTCCAGCATCACCAAGGGGCTTTGCTCGATGTCCTTCAGGATTTTTGTCAAGCTGCCCCCTTCATAACCTGTGGATGATGGCATTGCATTTGCCACCAGAGCAGAAAGGCTAAGTTGTTGCTGATTCGCAGGTCAGGACAGGTGACCCTAGGGGCATCTGTGACCAAGTCACTTCCCAGTGTGTCTGTGGGGGAGACACTTGTGTTCCCTGAACCACAGAGAAGGGAAGGACAATAGAGTAATTAGGAAGAGGCTGGAGTGATTTGAAAGTCTGAGGTGGGGGTGGGTGCTGGCTAAAGGTGGGTGGGTCTGTGGAGCTGAAGGGAGCCCTATTGAATTGGTGGGCTGGATGGTTGGGAAGCTGTGTGGGGGAGATAACAGATCCATGCCAGGACTGTGTCCTGTGGGAGATGGACAGGGTGATAGGCAGAATGTTAAGCTGGCCTGAGGGCGGGCTCCTGCTTCCTCTGACCTGCCCACCAAGAAAGAACCAGTCTCTGAATCCTGATACACCCTGACTGGTCTACAATCACTCCTTGAGTTGATCAGCCATCTGGAGTCCCTGCAGCTCTTCTGTCTGCTGGACCGATCTGTCCACTCTGCGGTAAGCTGAACTTCCTCTGCAGCTTGCCCAGTTCCATGGGGGCTGTGGCCATGTGTAATTCTCCTTAGTGCCTGCTCTTTGCACTGTAAACCGATTAACACTGTGTGACCCCCTTTAGGGGAATTTCAAAATGAAAGCCCACAGCCCTGGGCACCTGGGATAATCTGAATGTTCCTAATGACTCTAACTAGGGATGTAGTATTTTTGTCTGTATTCTGAGTCCTAATTCAGAAGATCATTGTTTGGGGGACAGGGAATTTTACGTTAAAAAACAGTCTATGTGAACTCCTATTGGAAGGGGCACTGGGAAGGGACAAATGAGATTTGGTCTTTATCCTAAAGTTGAATATGTTCTATTGGCTCTAAGCTGATGGCTTCAGGATGATAGTAATTATAGGGAGGTGAGCACAGGGTTCTCAGAGCCCAGGAGAGGGGCTTCTATTTGAGACCCAGCAGGGAACAGAAGTCAGAGAAAGGGTCACAGATCACCTCTGTAGAGCATCCCTGTAAGCAGAGCTCTGGTCCCCAGGGTAGCATCATATACTCACCTCCTCCCCAACGGAGACATCGGGCAAGGTCATTTCCTGTTCCAAGAGGCAGGACAGCCACTGGTGGATGCTTTGCAAAATTTGCCTTATCTGCAATCCATGCAAAGAAACAGAGAACCAGATACCATTGGATTACAGAATTCTTGGGTTATTTTGCTATCCTTGATCTGATGTATGAACCCTTCCGCAGCAATCTGTTTGACACCTCCCATGATGGAGAACACACTACTTCCTAAAGCCATTCCATCTGCAGTGTGTTAACCACTACAAATTGTGCCACATCTGTCAATGTGCAATTCATGTTGAGCTAAAGCTGTTTCCCTGTAACCTGTACCTGTTGGTCCAAATTTCATCTTAATTCTGTTCTTTGAGATAACAGTATGCCCCTCAAAAACACTAGTTTGTATTTTTGTTTGTTTTTTGGTTCCAATGATTGAACCCAGGGGTTTTGCTTTACCACTGAGCTACAACACCCAGCCCTTTTTATTTCTATTTTTTTGAGACATTGTCTTGCTGAGTTGAACTTGCAATCCTCCTGCCTCAGCCTAGTTTGCATTTTTTCAGTCCTAATGATAACCAGCACTTGTTCCCATTCATCTTTGACACCAACCCTGCAAGATGTTCTCTTTGAAGATGAAGAAATGGAAATTCACCAAGGGAAAATAATTCTGGAGCCAGAATCCAATCCCAGATCTCTGTGGCTTTGCAAGTCCATTCTCCTCCTCTTTTCAGGGGCTTGGCAGGTACAGATATTATTAAAATGGGTGGGTCTAAAACATTAAAGGATAGTGGGGCATTTGGAAAACTGAAAATTTGGGGCATTTTAAAAAAAATTTGAAAGTTTAAAAAATAATCTTGTATTAGCTGGGCACGGTGACACATGCCTGTAATCCCAGTGGCTCAGGAGACTAAGGCAGGAGGATCATGAGTTCAAAGCCAGCCTCAGCAAAAGTGAGGTGTTAAGCAGCTCAGTGAGACCCTGTCTCTAAATAAAATACAAAACAGGTCTGGGAATGTGGCTCAGTGGTCAAGTGCCCCTGAGTTCAATCCTTAGCACCACCCAACCCTCAGAGAAAAAAAACAAAAAAAAAACCCTTGTGTTAAACAAGCAAAATCTCTAGGTGCTACGGACACCCCATACCAGTTTATCATTTCCACCACTTTCCAGAATTTGGAACACACAGATTCCTACTCTTTTCTCCCTTACTGGTTGTGAATGAACACTGAACAGAACCATCAGAGTATGCATAGCAGATCATGTTTTCCTCTGGCTACGGAGCCCCAGCAGCCTGTTCACAGGCAAGGCAGGTTGAAGAGGGAGGTGTAGGCACCCACTGGACTCCAGAGGGGCACACTGACAGACCCTGTGTCACAGTGCCCTTGGATGTAAGTAATGTGACTTGGGGTGCAGGAATGGCAGGATTCAGCAGCGGAGGCTCAAGCTGGGGCTGCCTGCCTGCCAGTGTTGAGATGGAAGACGGGGCCATTCACTCATGGATCCTGGTCCTGGGACTCAAGTTGATGCCTTCCTGCCTCTGCTCATGCTCTCCCCTTTGCCTGAAAGGCTCTTGTTTCCTGTCTGCCCCTTCTTCTGGAGTCCCCATCTTGGCAGGTCTGCCATCCTCATGGCACTGAGCCTGGAAACCCATGTCATCTGCTGTGGTTTGGATCTGGAATGTTCCCCAAAGACGCAGGTGTTAAAGGTTTGTTCCTCAGCACAGCAGTGTTCAGAGGTGGGGCTCCTGGGAAGTGATTGGATTATGGGGGCTCTGCACTCATCAGTTGATGAATTCCTAGCTGATGACGTGAAGCTTTGGGAGGCGGGGCCTGGTTGGAAGAAGTAGATCACTGGGGGCGTGGCCTGGAAGGGTATTTCCTCTCCCCTCTCCCCCCTCTTTTTTTTCTACCAGGGATTGAACCCAGGGATGCTTAACCACTCAGCCATATTCCCAGCCTTTTTAAAAATATTTTATTTAAAGACAGGGTCTTGCTAAGTTGCTTAGGGCCTCACTAAGTTGCTGGCGCTGGCTTTGAACTTGCAATCCTCCTGCCTCAGCCTCCTGAGTCCCTGGGATCACAGTGTGTGCCACCACTACCAGCTCTAGGAGGGTATTTCTTGTCCCAGCCTCTTTGTCTCTCTCTGTCTCTGCTTCCCAGTTGCCAGGAGCTGAGCAGCTCTCCTCTGCCATAGCTTCTGCCATGATGTTCTGCCTGGCCTCAGGCCAGAGCAACAGAGCCCACCCACCACGGCCTGAGACCTCCGAAATGGTGAGCCAAAATAAATCTTTCCTCCTCTAATCTGTTTTCCTCAGATATTTTGTCAGTGATGCGAAACAGACTCTCAGCGATCTCTTCTCTCCATCCCCACGGTAATGCCTGGGTGCAGGGATGATCCCTTCCCACTGATACTGCGGCAACAGCCTCCTCCCTGTTCCCTCTGCCTCCAGTTCTACCTCCTAGTGTCTTCTCCATATTTCTGTCGAGGGGGACAACCCTCGGGCTCCGGCCCCATCACCTCAGCTTTCCTTCTATGGCACCAGGCCCCGGCTCTGCCTTCTCCCCAGGCTCGTCTTTCTGCATGCCTTACCGCCCACTCCACTGGTCAACCATCCTGAAACAAATCACAGAGCTCTCTGTGGCTCAGCTCAGAAGCCACCTCCGGGAAGCCCTCCCTGGTTCCCCTGGTCTAGACCTGGTGCCACCTCAGGCTGTTTTCTTAGCCTCAGGGATGACCTCATCACACTCTCTGGCAATCGTCCACTCATTGGTCCTCTGGATGGCCGGCAGCCCCGACCCCAGGGGAATATGTCTCACTGGCAGCGGCTTCTCCACGAGTTTATGGAGGCCTACTACACGCCACGTGCTGGGCGAGGCGCTGTGGCTCTGATGGCGGAAAAACCCTGGTGTTGGTGCTTACCATACACTCCAGGGTCCTCACGCACAGAAAGCACAATTTCCCATTCATATCAGAAAGGAAAGGAGCTCGATTCTGTAATGAGGCGACTGAGGCTGTCGAGGTGTCAGGGGAGACTAAGATCTGAGGCAGAAGTCCATGGGCAGAGGCTGGGGAGCATTCTAGGCAATGGCCTGGGTGGGGAGGGGACTGGCACGTCCAGAGGTCTGAGAGAAGGGCTGGGTGGCTGGAGTCCCAAGGGGGAGGGACAGAGAGTAACAGGAAGCTGGAAGGGTGGGTGGAGGCTGGGCCACCCAGGGCCCTGCAGGTCACCCGAAGGGTTTTGTCTTCATCCTGAGGATAGAGGGTAGGTGCTGATGGATTTCACGTTGTCCTGAATCCCTGGCTGAAGTGGGAACAGACCAGAGAGGGGACCATGGGAGACAGTGGAGACCACTGAAGGGATGCCTGAATGCGTGTCCAGGGAAGGAGGGAGCACCTTAGGCAGTGAATCCCTTTGCCTCGGATTTTTCTCTTTGGTCTTCTCATCTGTGGAAAATAACCTGACATTTTTCTTTCCCATCTCACATGATCTTTCATTCCTTGTTCCGAACAGCTTCTGGCACCTGTGTTCTCTACAGATAAATCTTCTGCAACTTTTCACCAAAGCCTGTTTTTCTCCCTCACGACAGAGAGGGGACCGTGCAGGTAGCCCAGTACCACGGCCGCCTGCCTTTTTCATATCAACCGTTCTTCCTGGGCCCCCAGAGAACTCCTCCCTCCTCCCACAAACAACTCCAGAGCCCGAGGTGACAGCAGAGCGTGGGTGGCTGCTCAGCAGGGCTGTGTCCATGGAAACCAGTGCGCGGGTGGGGGAGCAGCAGGAGGCAGGTGTGCCTTGGTACCCTCCCTGGGAGGCCTGTGACAACTCCTGGAGCCTCTGCGCCCCTGCACAGCTCAGCACCTGGTCCTGGCCATCCCTTGATTCCTTTCACCCCCCACATCCAGTTTGCCGGCAAATCCTGTTGCTTCTATCTTCCAAAGACTCTGGTCACTTCTCACCGTCTCCTCTTTCCACTGTGGCCAGTCCTGGTCACATCTCACTTGGATCACTGCAGTCCTGTCCTAAGTAGTCTTCCTGATTGTTCCTCCTTTACTCAAAACTTCCTGATGTCTTGGGACTCCCCCAGTATAAAAGCCATGTTCCAAGTGTTATGTCCTACGTGTCATCGTGACGGGGTCCCTCATGACTTCTGCGTCACATTCTGTAATGCTCTCTGTATGTCCTCTGTTCTGGTTTGCCTTCAAGAGCTCAGCCTGCTCCTATCTCAGGGCCTTTGCACCTGCTGTTCCTTATACCTAGATTGTTCTTTCCTAAGGCATCTGTGAGGCTCACCCTTCTCCAGGTGTCCCTACAAACAAGTTCTCCTCTACGAGGTCTTCCCTGACATCTCAGCCTTAGATTGCAACTCCACCTAACCTGTGTGCTTCCGTTGCTCCTTCCTGGTTATATTTTTCTCATCTTCTGATATTCTCTATATTTCACATATTTCTGTGTTGCCTGGTTCTGGCCTCTGGATGGTGGGCTCCAGCAGGGCAGGATGCTCACCTGTTTGTTCAGGTGGCACTTCCACATCCTCCAGGAGGGCCTGGCACATAGAGGCATGCAGGAGGCATTTGTGGAAGGACTGATGGGAAACCTGAAGCAGGCCGGGGCTCCTGGCTCTGGGCCTCCCTGACTCTGATGACTGCGCTCCCCAGCACTTCCTCTGGTGGCTTTCCTGTCCTTATGTTCCACATTGCAGTGTTTCTCTGGGTCCTTTGGGGTCAGATCTTGGCTATGCCCCATTGCAGAATTTCACAGCCAGTTTTCATCACTTCTTGTGGGTGCTGTCTCCACTGATCCAGGTGTGGCTGAGCCACAACCCTGGCCTCCAGATTCTCAGCCTGGGCCTCTCCAATGCCCTGTTGGTCTAGGCATATAGGACACAGCCCAGCGTGACCTTTCTTTGCTTGCATGGAGCCACATCTGGGTCCAGATGTGCTTTCTGGACCCAGGCTCCAGATGTTCATCTCCTGATGGTTTCCCCTGGGTATGCAGCTATGCTTAGTGCTCTGGTTTCTACTGTCCACCAGGCATCTGCCTTGAGTCCCAATCCCCCTCTTCCTTCCCCTCAAAATCCGGCCTGTGATACTCCTCAACCCTGGCCATGACATGTTTTTGAGGAAAGGCCTGAAACTGAACTGTTATCTTCATGTCTTTGGGAGTACTCTCATTATTTTAATTTCTTCTTTTTTTTTAATCCAAAGTAGATATTTAGTTAAGCATCAGTTCAAGGGTAAATATAAGGATGAACAAAGTATGGCTACATTTCTCTCTTCTTGTTATTGCCTTCTGCTAACTTTATATATTTACTTATTTTGGGTACCTGGGATTGAACTCCAGGGCACTCAACCACTGAGCCACATCCTCAGCCCTATTTTGTATTTCATTTAGAGACAGGATCTCACTGAGTTGCCTAGGGCCTCACTGTTGCTGAGATTGGCCTTGAACTCACAATCCTCCTGCCTCAGTCTCCCCATTCATTGGGATTACAGGCGTGTGTGCTACCACGCCCAGCTACCTTCTACTAACTTTAAATATACTCACTATAAATAACCAGCAAAGGCCCTCCTCCAACCATTCTTACCAATGCAATCCAAGATCCAGCCAACTGTCCCATCTCCTCCACAGGCCAGAACACGGAAGTCTGGAGTATCACGGAAGAAGTTCAAGCTGGGAAATAGAAGAAAGTCCATGTTAGTCTTGTCACTAAGCTTGACTTTTTGAGTTAGAGTCTCTCTGTTCCCCGGGAGTATGTTAAGATCTCGATTCTTTTTTGGAGTTGAAAGGGTCACTCAATGTTCTGAAACTAGAAATTATTATGCATTGCCACTGAGTATGTAGAAAAATCCCAGAGAGCTATCCTTGTATAAGGAGAATCTGACTCAACATTCAACATAAATAGAAAGCAGTTTTCTGGAAATTCTCTGTGATTTGGGCAGACAAACCTACAGTTTGCACAATACAAATAACCCCCAATATTTTGACTCCTTTTGAATTCTCCTGCTTGTTATGTCCTTGCAACCTCCCCTTTAAGGGAGATGCCCTGAATTGGCTGAATTCATTTTGCAGTTTTATGGGTCCAGACCTAATTGGAGAAATCACCCCATTTTCCCCAGAAGTTTTAACTCTAATTTAGAGCAGGCTTCTCAACCAGGGGTCCATCACTCTCCAAGGGGTCTATGGATAGAATTCAGAAGGTCATGAACTTGAAGAAGAATATCTTACATTCATGTCTTCCCTAACCTCTCATTGAAATTTAGTATTTCCTTAAATTATGACTATAGGCAACAATACCTGTGACTTTGGCAGCAATCAAAATCACAGATATTTTTACAGTGTGGCACATATCTCAACCTATCATGTATGTTCATTGCTGCTTTGAATTTGCAATAGTTATTTGACCTGGCTATGGATGCTCTGTTTAATGTGTTGATGAAGCATATGTAGACCCATATCACTAATTTTTTTTAGTGTATCGATACATATTTTTCAACATAATTATCTTCTCCAGTAATCTTGTATTATTTCATTTTGTGTATTAGGAAATAATATTCCAAGGAGGGATCCATTGTCTTTACTAGACTGGCAAAGGGGTGATGGCATAACATGGTTAAGAAATCCTGTTTTAGAATAGAAGTGACCTGTGAACACCTTGGGTGAGACTCAGAATCTAAGGTTATACTTCTTCTCTGCCCATCCTGGTGGTCTGAGAAGACCCCTGGGGCTCTCTGAGTCATGGATGCCTGTGTAGGTAAATTAACATTTCTTCTTTTCCATCTCTCTTGAAGAACTCTGCTTTCTTACAAGAAGTGAATTCTGAATGGAGGCTCCCTTCAGCTAGATGGCCTGTCTGATTACAGATGGATACACACATCAGAGACACTGGGGACCCACTAGCACTGGGAGTAGGCCCCTGACCTGTTACCCATGGTAAAACAGTTGAATATCAAAAAGGTTAAGCCAGAGGACTGCATTCCAGTATTGTAATACCCAAGAGGAGGGTGGGCTGGTGAAGGCACTTGTGGGCTGCAGCTATCCAACAAAAATGGGCAATTATGGCAACCAAGGCAGAAACCTCAGCAGCCTGGATGGATTCTGCTTTCAAATTAGTTTTATAGTTAAATTGTGGTAGGAGTACTGAATCTGCTTGCACATTTCTAATTTTAACCTGATTTTGTCCTGCCAGCGCTATAAATAAGAGCTTTGTGTCAGACAATCAAAGACAGGGACGGATTCTATTTTTTGGTCTTTTCTCTAGCCAGCCCCTTTGAGGGGTCTCCTGGAATTCAGAGTTAGAACTGCAGGTTAAGATGTGGGAAAACCCAGCTAGCTGTGCACAGCTCGAGGCCGAGACTGGCCAGCAGGTGGCGCTAGAGCATCGATTCTGACTGGGAAGAGCCCAGTCTTTCCGTGCCTTCCATGGGGCCCTCCAATTACAGGGTCTGGAAATTCCTCATGGTAGCTGCTGCAGTGGGCCCAGCTCCTCCTGTCAGAACTTCAGTCAAAATATAAAGCACTTCCTTTTCTCCAACCTTCTGCTAAAGAGCAAGGAAACAGCAAGAGGAGTAGCAGGAGAAGGGCCACAGGGAGTGTAACCACCTCAAAAATGGACCATCCAGAAAAACAATGATTTCATCGTATAACCAAGTGTCTTGATCCTCAAATGCCCCCATAGTGGAACAGAGGGTGGACCTCTGAGTAGCCATATAGATTTCCAAAATGCTAGTGATAAGAACACTTTCTCCTACCCGGGGTTGACTAGGAAGATGCCAGCTAGCACTGCTTTACCATCAAGTTAAAATATTTCCCCAGTCGCCTTCCTAGCAATCAAAGGAATGGTATATGCAATTTCCCCATCTTATAGACCAACTCCTTTCTTTTGGGGACAAGGTAGAGTTAGCCATAAGGGGTGATTCTGAACACATCCAGAAGAGTGTGATGTGAGAAAGATAAAAGGTATCCAATGGTCTTTTCAGGGATCAAACACATTAAAAAGGTGACAAAAGAAGGTATCTTCTGCAGAGGTTAGAAGAGAGAGATGAAAAATAAAGATTATTGTCTCCATACCCTGGAGTAGGTCCCCCATTGTCCAGGTTGAAAACTTGTTTGGGGTTGAGCAGGTAGTGGAATTTCCGAAGAATTCTATGGGGGAGAAAAAGAGAGAGGAAAAAAAAAATTTAGAGGGTAGGGGAAGAAAATGTCATTGCAAAAAGTCACATTAGGGTGACCCCCTTTCTCCTTGTCTCCCTCCACTCTTGGGATTCACCAAGACCAGCAGTGGGTGGGTGCCTGGGGGTGGGGATGATCTTATACTTAAAAGGCAAAAGAAAAAGAAATCAGTAGTCGGATTGAGCATCCTTTTAAATGTGAGATGGGAGAAGAGTGCCCGCAGACCTGGTATATCCCAGGTCTATCTGGCATCACCACATCCTCACCCCCTGGTCTAAGGCTGCCCCTACATCTCAGATTCCAACTCCCACCCCAGGAGCCTCACCCCTTCTTTGCAGAGAATAGGGCAGAGAAACCCAGAATTTCTTCCCCAAGGAGACTTTCTCCCAAATGTTCTGTGTGGCTCGGGCAGTGTGATGTCAGTGTGAGGTATCAAAGGATCCCCCTAGGGAAAGGCCCCTACAGCCCCCAATCAGGAGCAAATGCAGGAGGAGCTGGGCTTGGACACCTGAAGGGCAGCGACCACATCTGGGCCTGATCTCAGGGCTCTAGTTGGAGACTAATCAGGTCCCTTGGACCAGAACAGGGGTCCTCGTAGTTCTTGTTTAGCTCTACTTATTCTTATTTCATGACATGGATTCCACATTACTGTCATCTGCTCATCACCCTGGAACTGAACAGCCTCCAAGGCAGAAGTGGCTCTCTCTTCCCACTCTGCTTAGCAATCCCCAGTTTCCAGAAAAGGGGACATTTTCTTCACTCATGAGGTGGGTGCTCTGCATTCTCAGGGAAGAGAACAGGTCAGGTGAGTCCTGCTGTCTCTTTCACCAAGAAAAGACATGTGAGACTCGGAAGGAAGAGGCTTCTCAGGATTCAGTCTGAACTCTGCAGTGGCTCATGAGAGAGACCCTGCGTGAAGCACTGGGCTATCCTAATTCTTAAAATAACCTAGGAGAGGAGATATTGTTATCTTCCTAAGGCCCCGGGGGCCAGGAGATGAAGGCCTAGTGGTGGTGCTGGGATTTGAGCCTGGGTCTCCATTCTGCTGTGGTCAAGGGGAGGAAGGGGCTTGTCTTAGCCATTCCACTTTGAAAGAGAAGAGAACATACCTTTCTCCTTGTCTCCCTCCACTCTTGGGATTCACCAAGACCAGCAGTGGGTGGGTGCCCGGGGTGGGGATGATCTTATACTTAAAAGACAAAAGAAAAAGAAATTAGGTCTGCTTTTCCAGTGATCGGGGGAGACAAGAGCTTGACGCTTAGACAGCTTCGGAAAGGTGGAGAGGAAGCAGGCCCAGGCATGGAGGAGAGGTGATCGGGGAGGCAGGTTTTTGTCCACTGGCTGAGTTTTCTGAGGGGCCAAGCGGCTACGTGTTTCCAGCTCAAGTGGCCTTTCAGGGGTGCTAATGGCAACGAGGGTTTGAGATTGGGATCAGAGATGGGGCAATGGCACTGTAGCTTCAAGTCATTCAACAACGGTGTGGCATTGTGCCCACATCACAAGATTAAATTCTGTGAGGGACACAACTGAACGCAATCCTAGAACGTGTGGCCATCTGGTCACACACATAAATAAAATAACACTCATGGAGTGAAAAAAAAAAATCACTTCCACTCTGGCACCTTCTAGATCCGCATTTCCAGACCCAATTTTCCTCTTGAGCTGGTCCTGCGTTTCTGACTCCCCGGAGCTGCCTTCAAGTTTCCCATCACTACCAGGTCAACATGCCCCAACCTGACTTATCTTCTTTTCCCATCAAACTCATCTTCTCCTGGTTCTGTGCTCCTGATAAAGGTTCTGTTATTCATCTAGCGTTTCAGGGAAGATCCTAATCTGCCAAGTCTTCCCCTGGAATGTCCTTTCATCTCTAGCAGCTGTCACAGAACCCATGCTGCTTGGGTGTTTTCCATCCCAGGGAAGTACTGTATGTTGCCCCCTTCCCTGAACACCATGTCAGGCACACCACTCCTGGGCAAACACCTTTAGTGACACCTCACTGCCGGGGGGGATAACATCTGTATCTCTGAACCTGGCATCAAGGCCTTCTGGATCTCGCCCCATTCCACTGCTGTGGTCTCATTTCTTCTAACCCCAGCTGCAGTTCCAGTCCAACCCTGCTTGCACCCTTCAGGGAGTGTCTCCTAAATTGTCTCCCATGCATCTGATCACCATTCTCCTCCTGTTCTCTACCCTGAAATGCTCATTTTCTTCTTTGTGACTTCTTAAAAAAAATAAAAAATCCAAATGACTTTTCATCCTTAGGACCCAACTTCAGAGCCATCTCCTCTATGAAACTCCCCTCAATCATGGCAACTGAAGCTTTTACATTTAAAACATGTCATATCTTTTGGAGTTTCTTTTGTTGTTTATTTGTCTTTGACTGTCTTAGGTAAATGTCTCAAGGCATTACCTTGAGGTATCTCTGAACCTGGCATCAGGGATGGATTTTCAATGCTTCAGGAGCCGGGCAGTGTATAACCCTCTTCCCAAGGGCCCCTGGCACCAGACACAGCAGCAGGCAATCAATAAACACTTGTGGATTCAGCCGAATGACATTCTGACTCAGAGGCAGCTCTGCTCCATGTTCAACATCTAACGCCTGCTCTCTCTGATCTTAAACTAAAAAGCCAGCAAACACAGCGTGCCATGTGGTTTGAAGAGAACAGTAGCACTGTTTGTGATTTTTAATAATTCTCTTATCTGCTCAAGGACTTGTGACACCCAGAATCATCTTGGAGCCTGAGGAATAAGCCCTTAACTTCTGGAAGTTTTAAAAGTATTCAGCAATCTATACAGCAAGGGTCCTGCCTGATCAGAACTGATGCAGGACAAGCAGAAGAATCCATGTCTAACAACGGTTATACCTGCATGCTTTGTGTGTGTGTGTGTGTGTGTGTGTGTGTGTGTGTGTTCCACTTGACTTGCTGCCCTTCTGGGTGTCTAGAGCTTTCTCATCTAATAAGGTTCCTCCATTGTTTCATCTTAATTAAAAAAAAAAAAAACGAATCTGCACACTCTCATTTAATCTCGCAGCACCTCCAGGAGGTGAGGAGTGCAAGGATTTCCATGCCCCTTTTCAAACAAGGAGACTTAGGTCCAGGGTGGAAGAGGAGGCCCTAACTTTCCTATTTCCTTTTCTGGTTCTTTGTACCTCTTCAGGATGCCTTGCTTGCATTCCTTTTGTGGAAGGCAGAAAGAAAAGGTGTTCACTGGTGAGTCTGAGTAAAAACGAATTCTTAAACATACATTGAAGGATTAAGAACTTTTGGATTTGGCGAGCTACGTTTTGACACTTGTGTTCTGGAGACAGATTGGCAATCTTGGAAAACCTATTGTCTACTTCTAGGCCACACTTTTGTTATGGTTTAGGAGGTCTGCATACTGAAGGCTTATGTAATTTGCTCCTACAGAGGTGATCAAGCCAATTAGACCAGCGATGGGATCAGCCAATCTCCCTTCTCACCACTTGCCTACAGTGTGGCGGTCAAAGGTAACTCCAGAGGCCCGGAATAAAGTGTCCTCCTGCGTGACAGAATTGATCAGATGAGAAAGCAAATGTTGAGTACATTTCCTTAGAACCCAAACCCTGGCCTCCCGGCCACTGTCTTGGACCCATTTGGAATAAGCAACTGGACTGCAATCCGTGAGATACCTGCATTACAAGCTCGCCCTTGGCTGCCGTACTGCCATCAGACTTTCCACCTTGTCTGTCCTGTGAGGAGAGAGGAAAGACAAGAATATATTGAAAGAAAAATAAAAACCTAATATAAGGGAAGAGATCTGGTGAAAACAAATGGCTATCAGCTCTGGAGGCTGAGGTAGGAGGATGGCAAGTTCAAAGCCAGCCTCAGCAACTTAGTGAGGCCCTATGCAACTCAACGAGACCCTGTCTATACATAAAATACAAATAAATAAATAAATAAATAAAGCACTGGGGCTGTGACTCAGTGGTTGTGCACCCCTGGGTTCAATCCCTGGTACCATAAAAACCAAATAAAAAACCCAACAACAACAAATGACTAGTATTCAGCAAAGCCAGGTCAGTGTGAGTAGTTTTTCAATGTGGGACTTTGGATTTCAAGAAAGGAACGCAAACCTATGAGTTTCTCTGGGACTCGCCAGGACCCTGTCAATACTTGATCTGACTTTAACCTTGAGACACAGGCAAGGGACACAGGAGGAGACGTTACTAAAATTGGCAGAAATCTAATTTGTTGATGGAGAAGCTTGGACTATAAAAAGCAAGGTCTCACACTAAGCTTCTCTGCTTAGCATTATCTAATGATACAGCATTCAGTCGCGGTTCTTGGTTTTATATTTTCAGTATTTATTATTTTATTGAGGTTTACTTAGCTTACAGCAAAATGCTCAATTTGAAATTGGACAGTTTGATGAATTTTTGCACATGTATGAGCCCTTAGAACTGCCGCCCCTCCAAGCATAGCCCTGTATGACTCCAAGATCACATTGGTCTTGCTTGGCTTTTGGATTTTATAGAGAGGGAATCAGAGAGAGTGCCTTTGTTTTTTTTTTTTTTTTTTGAGTCTAGTTCTTTAATTCAGCATTATATCTTTAAAATACTGTTTTTGCATGGGAGCACAATTTGTTCTTTCCCACTGCAATGTGGTATTCCATTGTATGAATACCATATGCCTATGGGTCTCAAATTATTTGTCTATCCTCCTGTTAATTGTCATTTAGATTTCTTCCAGTTTTGACTGCTATGAATAAAGTTGCCACAAACATTCTCGTCCATGTCTTACACACATGGAGTAAATGCTTGTACTTCTCAGAAAGATCCAAGAAGATGAATTGTTGGGTTATGGAGTTTGTATGTTTGATACTGCCAAATGATGTTCAAAAGGAAAATTTGTAGATTTTTAGTGAAAAAAAAATAACTGGTTAGGTCAAGGGCAAGAAGTGAGGAATCTGTGGAAGGTGGCAACAATTTTAAGATGAGAAAGGAGTTAAATTGGTGCTTGTTTGAAAGAGGAATCTTGTTGGCCTGGTGGTGTGCACTCCAGTAATCCCAGCAACTCAGTAGGGCTGGGGCAGGAGGATCACAAGTTCTTTCCCACTGCAATGTGGTATTCCATTACATGAATACCATATGCCTATGGGAAATAAAAAATAAAAAGGGCTAGGGATGTAGCTCAGTGATAGAATGCTCCTGGGTTCAATCCCCAGTAACAACAACAACAATAACAACAACAAAAAAAAAAAAAAAGAAAGAAAAAGAAAGAAAAGAGAGAAGAGTCTTCAATACAGGAGACCAAAAGTGTTTCAGGTGAGTATTAAAGGAGTTTAACTTTGCTTCTTTCTTTCTTTTCTCTGGAGTGTTTAACACTCCAGTGGAAGGCGTCAAGGTAGGGGTGATCCATGTTTGGACATAGCAGAGAGGTTCCGTAGGGGTAAAGGAGGAGAGAGACCTCACCCTGCTTTAGCTATACTCTGCCCACAAGGTGCAAAGGGTGAACGGGCTTCCTCCATGGTCCATCTGGACCCAGCAGTTGGAACCAGTTGCATCTGAGGAGTTTTCTCTCACAATCTGGCTGGCACAGCACTGACCTTTTCAAATGCACACTGAATACACCAACCCTAAGAGTGGCTGGGGAAGCTCTCTGGGGGGCGGGAAGGTCTGAGTGCTGCCTACATCTGAACCACGAACTCAGAGAAGCAGAGCTCTGGCTGGGTAGGAGGACTTACCCTGGTGACAGGACATATCGAGGTGGGCAGCAAAATATGGTCTCTGAGCTCCCCACCATCACACAACGTCGATAATTCACATTTGCGGTGAAACTGGAGGACAAGAGGGAGAGAAGAGTGAGAATGAGTGAAGGTGATCGAGGAACCAGCAGCTCGGAGGGTACAGAGGTTTGCTGGGAGGCAAGCTGTCTAATGCCCCCTGAACCGTGAGCACGGCTGGCTCTGGAAGGATTGCTGAGAGTGTATATAGGTGTGTTGAGGGGTGCCAGGTCTGCCACGGGCAGAGAGAGGAGACCAAGAGCCGCCCGCCCGTGGCTATTGGAGCAAATCGGTTATGAGCGGGCATTTGCCCTGCTCTCCCTGTTGATTCCAGAGCCCTCCTTGGATTTCTGCTCCCCAGGCTTAAAGACTCTGGAAGGGAGATTCCAGTGAGCAAACACATTGTAAGTAAACCCTGCAACTCAACCTCTGCCTTCTGAGTTCTGCAGTCTGGTTTGGAAACACCTCCTCTTGGAGGTTGAAACCTGATCAGGGGACAAGACATGGCTCTGAGTTGGATGTGGCAGGCAGGTGGGGCAGCTCAGTGGCTTCTAGAGGGGCTCCAGAAGGGCTGTGGACTCTATCTTATGCTGTGGTTAGTGGCGGCAGGCGGAGGCCCCTGGACCAGGTAGTGAGGTTGCTGCAAGGAAAGTGTCTGAGGAGAAGGTGCCCCTTCCTCTGGTGCCTCAAGGGGCAGGCACTCTAGCGGCTAATTCCTCTCCCACTCTGGCAGTGCCCTGGCCTCACATAGGTGAGGGAAGTGCATGGTCTAGCCTATTGTTCCCAGCTGCCTGGGCAGGCAGGCAATGGGCTGGGCAGCTTCTTAAGCAGTTCTTACTCCCGTGATTCTGGGGGTGTCCCTTCTCTCTGGGCAGCTTGGTAATTGATGGGAGCACCATTAGACTGAGGGCATGAAACAGAGGCTCTGGGGCCTTCCTAGCTTTATTAGCCTAACTCAGTTGTTCTCTGGTGGGATGTTCACTGCTCCCAGGCTGCAGCTTGAGCTAAAAAATCACACGGAAAAGAAGCAGGGCCACCTGGGCACCAACCCACCGTCATCCGGCACCACACGCAGTGCCGCGCGGTGACACTCTGGTAGCACTTGATACTTTTGTGGCACCGGTCACACTTGACGGAGGAGTTCCCTTCCACCCACGCGTGCTGCATCACCTGTGGGAGGGAAGCGAAGGATACCAGGGAAGGCAGCAGAACCATGACCCTGGACCGGGGCTGCAGGAGGGTGTGGGAGGAGTCTAGGAGAAGGGAAGGCTCTTTCCTATTTAGATGTTCATAGGATGCTGGCTCCCTCTCTGCCTGACCACCATTGTGCTAATCAAAGTAGATGAAAAATCACTGCATCTGAGTTTTGAATTGCTCATTTGCCCTGGCAAGCAGCCAGAGTGAGCAACATCTCATCTGGAAGTCCATCTGTCTGTCTTGCAGAATTCCTTGCAGAGTGATGTGCTTGCATGGACCCTTCTCTGGAAGGCAGCACAGAGCAGGGAACATGGGAGGGCCTGGGCTGCAGACAAAACTGGTTGGAGTCACTGATTTTAAACTTCATGGCAGGGTGATTGTTGACCAGTTCCTAGACCTTTCTGAGTCTCAGGTCCTTCATCTGTACAAATTGGTATGATACATCCCACTCCTGAGGTTGCTGGGAGGATACAATAAGAAAACACACTCAGAAGGGCCTCCCTATAACAGTCCCCATCTTTTGAAGGTGCTCACTGTTGGATAACTAACTCCCTCCCCACTGCTCAGTCTAAGCTGCTCATCAGAACCATTTAGGAATTTTCTAGAAGTCATAGTGCCCACCCCACATTCTGAATGAATTAGTCTCTTATCATTAATATGTTCTAAAGTGTTCTGAGTGGTTATAACGTGCGACCATGGTTGAAATGAACTCTAGATGAAGCTTAGACAAAAAGTCCAAGGAAACTAGTGAAGGTCCTAGTTTCACACCGGTTCTTGGAGAGCTAGCTGTACTCTGCTTCCTGCCCAGGAAGTGTACCCAGGGGAGGTTAGCAGCTTGGGAAGCAGGAGAGAATGTCTGTAGGTGAATGTGCATGTATAAGTACTGCTCAAGTAATGGCCCCTGACCTCCATCCAAGAGCCAGAATTACCAGCTGGTTCTGCTTGCAATGCCACCGGACTTCTCAGATTTCCATCAAGCTACCCTGAGCTGCAGAAGGAAGAGGATGTGAACCTTGGGGAAAGGTAGGGGTGCAGCATTGAGTGCCCAACTTCAAGCATAGTATTAAAAATACATGAAAATGTACGAGACTATCCCATGTTTGTAATAAATAAAAATAAATGTTTTAAATTACTTAGCAATTAAATTGCTTGATGGCTCCCACTCTGGAATGTTTTTGGTAAAGATCACAGTTCCAAAAGTTGTGTCACACTCAGTTTGTAGCTTCTCACCTTCTGCCATATTGATTGTTGATAGAGCTAGGTTGGTTAATGGACGTGTCATCTATATGATCACATTGAATTTGCTCTCAGATCATTGTTATTTCTATTTTGCAGAGAGAAAAAGGCAAGGCTTCAGGGAGGTTAAGTGACTGGCCCTAGGTGCCAAGGCTGGTAAGTGGCCAAGCAGGGACCCATAGCCAGGTCTCTGACTCCAAGTCTAGGGTCATCTCCCCAGTGCCACATTGCCTTCTCCAGCCTCTCTGGGATCTGAAGAGATGGTGAGGGACTTGGGGTGTCCCTGCAGGCTCAGAAAATTGTGAATGTGCCCTGTTGGCCTCTCAGTGACCTCACTCTATTCTGAGTGGCAGGCAGCCAGAGTGCAGGCACAGGGCCTAAGCCCAGGAGGCACGCCAAGTGCCCCGGTGGAAAGCATGGGCATGGAAAGGGGTGTACATGGGGTGGTGTGGAGGGAGTAGACAAGAGGCCATGCGGTGTCCATGAGGCATGCAGAGGAGTCCCCGGAGGTGCCCTTCTCTCTCAGGAGTACTTCCGTGGGAGGGGTGGGTACCACTCCCACGTGCTGAACATCTCCCAACTTAGCTTCCTCAATAGAATCTTCCTTTTGCAGCAATGCAGAGTGCTCTGCCCTTAATTTTAAGGACACTCAATTTCCAGACTCAGCAAATGGCACCACTCAATGGCCAAGAAAGAAACCTGCGAGCCCTACCTCTTCCCCTCTTTCATTCTCTCATCACATCACCAAGTCCTGGTTACCTCCAAATTACCTCTCCCTGGGTCTCTCCTCCTTAGTCAATGGAACAGTCAATACTCAATGATCTGCATGGCCCCAGGGATGTCAGCACAGACGTGGCCTCAGCCATGCAGACTCCACCCAGAGGGGCCCTCAATGCAGCACTGACTTTTGCTTTAATTATGCCAAGAATTTCCCCCCTCGCTGTGATTTCTTTCTTACACCCTGCTCAGAACAATTTACCTGACTTGCAAATTCAATCACTCCTTGATTGAAGCTCTCTGAGGACCCTGTGGCTGCACAGAAAACTCCTTTCCAATTCCTGAGCTGACCTTACAAAGACCACTTCCAGGAGGAGTCTCTTTCTGAATAACATCTCCTGTCACTTCCCTTTAAGCACCCTCTGTTCCAGCCCCACCAAACTAAGTACAGATTCCAGAATAAGTCATGTCCTGGGCCTTTACACACTCTTTCTGCCTGGACTGCTTTTACTCTTCAATACCTCTTGAAGTCCTCCTGGTAATAGCTTTAGGGCACAACTCAAATGCCACCTCCTTTGTGAAACTTTCCCTGGCTCCTCATCCATGCCTCAATCACATGTTCCACAGAGCCTCATCATGATGGCACACCTCACTACTGTGCACTTGCTGACATGTCTGTCCTTCCCTGTACACTGGGCAGTGCTTGAGCAGTCTGGGGACTTCCTCTTATAACCTGCGTGCCCCCTAGCACAGTGCCAGGCAAGTGGTGGGCACCGGGGAGATGCTGAATGGATTGATGGATGAATGGGATGATGTAAGGGTGATCCTCAAAGCAGAGAAGGGATGGGAGAAAGCTCCCAAAGCCCCTCCTGCCCAGGACTCTGTGTGATGGACATGTTGCTCCAGATGCAGCATGCAGTAGAACAAGGCACCAGGTGTCACCAACCTCGCCGCTCCTTTTGGCTTTTGAGCACGTTTTGACACACCCAGGAATGTTTTTGGATACACAGCGCTCATGGACAGTGTATTTACAATCTACAAAGAAAAAATAATAAGAAGAAAGATATTTGAGTGACTATCTAAGGAAGAGCCATCCCCCAACCTCCCAGCCAAGGCCTGTATCTCCTGCTGGATCTCCTCCTGTGAAGGGCTGGGGACATGAGGAGCTGGCCTCGCCTAATGGACATTCAACAGCCTCCTACTGTTCCTTGAGTAGAGTCCCCAGTCATCTTCCAGTTCTGCTCCTGTGCCTCCACCTGGGCACACTGCCTTCATCTGTGAGCAGTGAATGCAGCAGGGAAATGTCCCCAGAAAGGGGAGAGCGAAATGTCATCCTGCTTACTGTGCCCATGTAATATCATGGCATGTCAGGGAAGTTGGGGAGTGGACAGAAAGATCAGGGGTCTCTGGGAAGGCAGGCCAGGCTTCATGTCTGGCTCTGCCATTTGTAAGTCCATGTGATATTGGGTAAATTGTTTTATCTCTCTGAAATTGAGGGTTTTCTGCAAAATGGGCATAAATAGTCTTTTTCTTTGTAGGGATTTTGGCAGCATTAAATGACATAATTTACCTGAGGCACCATGTGCCTGGGTCAGAATAGCTATTCCAAATTATCACTGTTGTTTCTACTATTATGCAAATAGCAGAGGTCCAGAGGTCTGGAACTTAAGAGGAATGAGAACTGGTCAATGCAAAGTGCCAAGAAGGGGGATTTGAATGGGGCAAAAGGTCACTGGACACCTTCTTTAATTTGCTGAGGCCTGATCTTGATGGACAGCAGGCCCAACTCCACTAAGATGTCCTTTTGCTGAGGTCACATGTTCAGGTTAGAGGATCTGGACCACATGAAGGGACTTCCTTACTCAGTCTTTTTTTTTTTTCATTTTGGTTCCAGGGATTGAACCCAGGGGTGCTTAACCACTAAGAAACTTCCCCAGAGCATTTAAGACAGTTTTTAGTTTGAGACAGGGTTTTGCTTGGTTGCTGAGGGCCTCACTAAGTTGCTGAGGCTGGCGTTGAACTTGCGATCCTCCTACCTCAGCTTCCTGAACTGCTGGAATTACAGGTGTGCACCGCCTCATCCAGCTCCGCACAGCCTATGGTAGATTTCAGCTACTATTGATGTCCCTGTCTCAAGGTGGTTGGCAGGGCTGTGTGACCTCTTCAAAGACTTGTGGGAGCCCCTTTCTCCCTGCTCCCCATATCCCCTTCTTCCCTGTCACCCTTTCTTTCTCTTTCTTATTTACATAGTTCTCCTGTTCATCTTTCCAGTCTCTCATTCCCCTTTTTCTCTCATCTCTCATTTGGGGTTTTTTCTTTACTAAATGGGTTGTCAAGTGAAACAAATGTCTCGCTTTAATTCTGATTATATTTTCAGAATCTAGAATGAATTGTTTCACTAATTCAAAGCTAAGTAAAACAAAACAGGTTCCTTTGAACATAAACATTGACTAGAAAACCCAACGAAAATCAGTATGAGATGCTTTTGAATGACATATGAACTTATTTTTTCTAGGGGATCAGTGGCCCCTTGACTCCAACCCTACTACAGGTCTTGTCCACTTGATGCTAAGATAGCACATACAGGCCTTCTTTACCCCTGCTGCTGGATCAAGAAGAGTGGTCCCTCAAGCTCAGAAGCAGAGAGACCTCGATTTTCCCTAGAATGGCCTGACCAACCATGCACAGAACAGCACAGCGAAGTGGAGAAGAGGTTTAGGGGAAGTTTACTCACAAATGCAGCAGAGGCCTTGCTTCCGCACCCCCATCAGCATGATGTGGCAGAAGTTGCAGTAGGTTGGCTTCTTAAAATGCTTCATGGTCCAGGCATGCCTCCCGTCCCCTTTTGAGCCCTGTAGGGGTACAGGAAGTGAGACCCTGAGCTTGCAGCCCCAGCTAGAGGAAGTGGGTGAGGGTGCCTCCTGCATGTTCTTTTTTCTAAATAGGACTCTTGTATATGGAAGGTAAGTCACTTGTTTTTTAAAATTGTTTTAAATTTAAATAAAAAGTTCTTTTTGTGTTTCCTAAAATTAGCAAACATTAAAAACAAGAATGGGAGGGGTGATTAAATAAGCCCTCTTCAAATGGCCAGTGGAAGTGTAAATTAGAATAATTTGATCTATCTCCATACCTACCCATCTATCATCTATGTCTATCTCTATCACCTGTCTATCTGTTAAATGTTTACAACTTTTGACTTGTAATTTTCCCTTCTGGGTCTCTCTCCTAAAGAAAGACAGATGAGCATTTTGGTGCTCTGCTGAGTGTTTAACCCAGCATTACTTAAAATAACGAAAAACTGGAATGTTCTAAAGTCTCCAAATTACTAAAAGATTAATTGTAGTACATAGATATGACTTCATGTTAGAGGGCAACCAAAAAGTCATTTAAAGAATTATCTAATGGCATGAGAATGTGTTCATGATATATTGCTAAGTGAAAAAAACCAGAAGGTAAATTTCATTTATATATATATATATATATATATATATTTTTTTTTGTAGCAGGGATTGAACCCAGGGACATTTAGCCACTGAACCACATCCCCAGCCCTTTTAAAAAATATTTTATTTAGAGACAGGGTCTTGCAAAGTTGCTTAGGGTCTCACTAAGTTGCTGAGGCCAGCTTTGAATTTGCGATCCTTCTGCCTCAGCTTTGGAGCTGCTGGGATTACAGGCATGCGCCACTGCACCCGCCCCGCTTGATGATATATTCTGATTTCAGTCTTTGTGAACTAATATCTTTGATGGAAAGGAGTTTCACTGATCTGTCAACAGAGGTTAGCTATAGCTGACAGCATTATTTTGTTCTCTAGTTTCTCTTCTATATTTTCCAAATTTTCTACTCTATATACTAGTGTTCGAATAGAGAAAAAAATAGTTTAGTAAAAAAAAATAATAATGTGCCCCTTGTACAAACTTTCTGCGCACAGAAAAAATAGTAAAGAGCAAGACACAGAAAGAGAGGGATCATCTCCTCCAGATTTGGCTCAGAGGTGAAATCATCTTTACCCACTACACAGACCACGTTCCACACAATCACACATCTTCTGGGGAACACCAATTCTCCCACCCTTGTGGCCCTGGGAACTCAGTGTGGCTCCAGGCTGTGGCTTCAGGACACCCCTCCCCACGTATACTAGTTCTGGAGACTCCATCACAAGAGTATCTCTGGGACTGGTCTGAAGGGAAAAAGTATGGTAGGTAATAAGGTGATGGGGTCCCACAGTCAGGGACATACAGTCCAATGTGCAGGACGCAAGTCCAGACCTTACTTCTGGCCACTTAGGCCTTTGTACTGGTCACTGTGGTCAGTCCTACTTCTGGCCCCACATCCTGCTTATGGTCTCTCCAGCAGCCCACATTCTTTTCCAAATGCTGGTCTCTTCCCCTGGTCTAGGTGAAGCTCATTCCTTCTCACCATCTCAAAACCCGGCTTCTTCCAGACCTGAGTTTTACAGAATTAATGTCCCTTCATCTAATGTCTCCACTTCAGGAAAAGAGATACAAATGGATAATGATTTACCAGATGACTGATTCATTCATTCAATCGGCAAACATCTATCTCAAGGTTTTATTTTTGCAAGAATTAAACTAAATAATGTAAGTGAAGCTCATAATCCACTGTCAAGTACATTAAAATTTTTATTAAGTTCCTACTCTACAACAGCTATGGAGACATGAAAATAAATAGAGTGCGTATTTAGGAGTAAGGAGATTACATTGATTTCTAATCTATAGAGGAGAAACAGAGACTCTAGACCATCTAGAGAATAAGTGATGGGGTCAGTAGTTGAACTGGGGGGTCCAGCTGGTTTCGGAGCCCAGGCTCCTTCCAGGCCTCTCTCCTACCTCCACCACCCAGGGTTTCCCTTCAAGGACAGAAAAGAAATTACAGCCCTTTTCAGAAGATCCAGCTTCTTCATGCATCTGAGAGGACTATCATTTCATCTGAAAATACCCTTATTTGCTAAGTCAATCAGCTAGCTCGGCTTTCTCAGCTGCTGCTTTTCTAGATACAAGAAGCCAATGGACAATGACTTGGAGCCAGGAAATGTTTCTGCTTAGGTTACAGCACCATCATGTGGTTTTTTCATTTCTGCACACGGGAAGCTGCAGAATGTGGCAGTAGCCTTCAGGTTTTATGCCACTGCTACAATTTCACCCAGAGAGAGAGAGAGAGAGAGAGAGAGAGAGAGAGAGAGAGACGTTTTACATATGTCCTGTTCATGGATCCCCAGACTCCTCAGTGATCATCTGTGGGGTTGGAGGAGGCCAAACAAGCAATAGGACATTAAAGACATTTACTTAAGGGACTGGGGCTGTGGGCTCCATGGTAGAGCACTTGCCTAGCAAGTGCTAGGCCTGGTTCAATCTTCAGCACCATATAAAAAGAAATAAACAAAATTAAGGTAAAAGGAAAAAGATGTAGTCATTGCCTTAAAAATGTTTTATTTAAAGTATATATTTAAAAATGAATGCAGGCCAGGTGAGGTGGCTCACACCTGTAATCCCAGCAGTTATGGAGGCTGAGACAGGAGGATTGTGAGTTCAAACCCAGCCTCAGCAATGGTGAGGTGCTAAGCAATTCAGTGAGACCCTGTCTCTATATAAAACACAAAATAGGGCTGGGGATATGGCTCAGTGGTTGAGTATCCCTGAGTTCAATCCCCTGTATGAAAGAAAGAAAGAAAGAAAGAAAGAAAGAAAGAAAGAAAGAAAGAAAGAGCATAAAAGCTTTTGAATCAAATTTGCTTTTATTTTCACTTGCCACTTTTGCTGATACAAATTATGATCCTCTACAAGGCTGATTTAGCATTTGGAAGAATGTTGAAGAAACAGTCAGGTTCTCTCTCTTCTAGCCAGAAAATAGTTAGTCCTCTCATGCAGAGATGGTGGTATTTTGAACCTCACCAAGTCCAAATAGGGCAGAAAACAGAAATGGGTTCATTGTGATGAAAATGTCCTATCTTCATTTTCCAAATGAGGAAAACCAAACAATGGAGTTGGGATAGCACCCAGGCAGAACTTCCATTTTGATGGAAGTATTGATAGAAGAAGCTTACTCATTTGAGCATCCAGCTCATGTGGGTTCTTATACATATTGTTTCATGCGGGGTCTGATGTTATGGAATGTGGCAGGTGGCCGCTGGTGCAGACCTGGTGTGTGCCCTTGGGTGAGTCCTTTACCTCTCTAGACCTTAGTTTCTAAAATGGAAGGGACAAACCAGGGATGACAAGGTCTTTTCTGCCTCTAGGGCTCTAAGGATTAAGAAAGGAGTTGTGTAGATCCTGGTTCCTTGATCACCACTTAGCACTTGGGAAGAACTGGACATGCTGCAAGATAGGGCAGGACTCTTAGCTCCTGAGCTTTGGAAATAAAGGCTCCACTCTAGTCCTGAGTTGCAGGCCTGTGGGATGGAGTTATGGGCCATGATAGTCAGCTTGAGGCTAACCCAACTTCATTTTCTATTTTATTTCTCTCTATGATACTTCAGAAGTCTCAAAGGAGTGGTCACACAACCTGTATGACTGTTCTGGTAAATCCTTAATGTCACCATTTACCCTTCTACAGGGTAATTTTCCTCCCTCAGGTATGGAAGTTAGTGTACTTGGTAAATAAGCAAAAAAAATGCAGTAACCCACTGGGTCAGATGCAGGCTATTATAACCATTGATTTCACATTAAGCCATTACATGAATCCCCTCCTATGATCCAACTGGGAGATTTCCCTGACTTTTCTTCCATTTGAATCTTTGATCAAGTTGTTCTGCCTGCATAAGCTTTCTCTTCTACCATCTTCTACCAGCCTCATCATACCCAACCTTGACAGCCAGAACAAACCTCCTTCTAGGTCCTTCAAAATCTCACACATTATTCTTGGTCCACACTCCCCCCACCCCCAGTTTCTTCCTATTGTTTTTACACTTATATGTGGGGAATTAGAAAGTGCAGGGTCTCTGGAGTCAGATACAAATCCTGGTTCTTCCTTTGCTTCTTAGGATCAGAACCTCAGTTTCCCATCTACACAAATTGGGATAAAAATACTTACCTTATCTGGATGTTCTGTTAAATAAGAGATCATTAATGAAAGCCACCCTGTAGCAGATCATCATTCTTTTTCCTCTTTCCCTCCTTCCCTTTCTCCTCCTTTCTTCTATCCTTCTCTAATTCTTACCATTTAAAAATATAATTTGTTGAAAAGATGGGAATCTTCCCTGAGGTTTTGTTTGCTTGGTACAAGAGGTTGAACCCAGGGGCACTCAACCCAGAACCACATCTCAAACACTTTTTATATTATATTTAGAGACAGAGTCTCACTGAGTTGCTCAGGGCCTTGCTAAGTTGCTGGGGCTGGCCTTGAACTCATGATCCTTCTGCCTCAGCCTCCTAAGCTGCTGGGACTACAGGCATGCACCATAGCACCTGGCATCTTTCTTAAAGTTTCTCTTCTACTTTTCCTGGTTGAGCATAAGCTTTTTGCAGGCAAACATCATATGCGTGCTTCTCACAACATGCAGAATAATGTTTTTAATTTATTAACAACTTCGCAAATGTTTACTGAAGGGATGAATGTATTTGGAGCATGAATATAGGTAAAGAACTGAGAACAGAAAGGACTTTTGAGCCAATCCGAGGGCATGACAAGCCCATTGGGAAGTCTGGCTTAGAAACTAGAGACATTAACATGGATTCCAGTGTTCCAAGATGGCAAGGACCTTTGAACTCCAGCTTGTCGACTTACAGAGTCATCCATCCCCAGGAGGACCAGCAAGGGGATAGTGGTCATCCCTCCGTGGACCCACTCCTGTAGAGACACAAAGCCGTCCCGGTCGTAGTCCATCCCTTGCAACATCTCCTTCAATATCTGTGGAATCCAGAGAGTGACAAACATGTCCATTTTCATCCTTGATTTTTCTACCTCCCTCTAGCCACTGCTTTCTTTTTCATCCTACATTACTCATTTTCTGTTTTATCCCTTTCCCCTCTTATTCAAAATGAGTAGAGCAGGGAGGGACAAGACTAGAAGTGAGGGGACCAGGGTCCTAAGTCCGACTCTGTCTTGACCTGACAGTATGGCCTTGGGCACATCACCCACCTCTTTGGGTAAAATAACAAACACTACCATTGCAGAAATGTAGGAAGGATTAGAGAAAATATGTACAAAGCAACTAATATAATTCCTGGTCCATAAGAAACCCTCACATGGAGTTAATGGTTGTTATTAATATTACCTGGTGATTGAGAAAAATCTCTAAAATTGTTTCTGGCTCAAATTCTCTGATCTATGAATTCTTGCAATAAGATTTTAGCTCTTGTGGAAAAGTTAGAGGAAGTTATGATTTCTGTTATTTCTACACTTTTTCTGCTGCCACCTACATTTTTCTTATCAGAGAAGTAGCAGGTCACAGCATAGGACCCTAAAGAAGCTGTCAGTAAGGGAGCACCTGCACAGCCAACATTGGCACCCATGTCCTGAGTAGATTCCACTCTTATTTTGAAAGCTCACTCTAAAGTCACCCCCTGCTTACAGAAACTCACAGGCCTTAGCTCCGTGGGATCCCACTCCAGATACTGGGCAATATGCAGCATTTGATTGACAATGCGATCCATCTCCTAGAAAACATCAGGGGAGAAAATATCAAGGGGTGATCCCAAAGAGATGTTATTAAGAGCAAAACTCAAAAGTGAGTCAAAGAGCTTTGTAATATTTTGAACAACCAATAATAATAATAATAAAAAAAAGTGAGTCAAGTGGGAAGATGGGCAGAACAGAGCATGAGAAGAAACCAGTGTTTCTTTACTTTTTAAAAAAGTTGTTCCAATATATACTCCCAATTACAATCTAAGAGGGCATGATACGGGATTGATCGATTATAGCAGTGCTGGGGATTGAACCCAGGGCCTCATCTGTGCTAGGCAAGTACTCTACCACTGACCTATATCTCCAGCCCAGAAACTGGCATTTCATGAGGAGCTTACTGTTTGTTTCTGCCTTGATCACAGAGCCAATAGATGCTTACAAGAAGCACATGGTATGCAGAAAGCTCTCTCAGCACTGACTTCCTCCTGGGCCACCTTCCTTCCCTTATTCTGTCCTTTAACTAGAAAGGCATAGAGAGTCCACCTGCTTTCTTCCACAAATACAAATCAAGGAGGTTGTCATACCTTATCATTAGCAACTTGGGATCCGTCTCCCCTCTCTTAGGGGTCAGTTTCACTTGATTACTATTCACTGAAATTTAGATTCATCCTTTGCATCATGGTCCAACTCTGAACCCAGGACTCTATAAATAGGAAGTTATTGAGGGATGTTTGCCTGGTAAGTGAGCTTCTAGTTACCAAGGCCATACTTCATCTAAAAGATTTGTTGAGTGCTAATGAGTCAGTGTACAGAAAGCCCTACTGGAACACATCAGACTGAGAAATTATTTGGTGTCAAAGTTAGCATCTCATGCGTGGGCACCATCTAAGATGTTTGTAGTAAGATTGTTCTGGGAGGATGTGTGGGTGGACTCGAGCAAGGTTGAAAAGTATTACCTCCATCAGGGTGAACGCCAGATCAAAACAACAAGCTAAACCCCATTAGGGATTTAAAAATTACATTTCACTTAAATCAAAAGAGTAATCTATAGGAAAACTACAGGATAGGGCATTAGGTGAAGGCAAGGAAGTGGGCATAAAGGTGGGGGTCAGGGATTGGCAGAAGTTCCAAAGGAAAATAACTTGTGAATCTACTCGGGTCCAAGATTCAGTGAGAAAATATGATTCAGAAAGTGAGGAATAGATCCAGTTGTGGGCTGTGTAAATAAGAGAGTGGGCGGATTTCGGGAAGAACTGGTTCTCCAATGCCTACCCTGGTCAGGCCACAGTTGGATAAAGGGTCATGGAGTGGTGGGGTCTGTTGTGTGTCATATTTTAAGAATGGCATTGACAAACTGAAGCTTGTGCCGGGCAGGCGTTTACAACTGCCTCATGAGAAACAATGTAAGGGACACTCTTAGCTTGGAGGAGACAGTGGGGAGATGTGACAGCACTTCAAAGGCCTGTTGTATGGAACTGATTTCCACTTGTCTTGGTCAGCTACAGAGGGCAGAGGGAAGCTGAAGGATGGAGAAAAGGAAGAATCCAGGATCAGACTATACTTTGGCCTCCCTATCGGGCTGGGGAAGTGTGAAGAGCATCAGGTCCTAGCAGAGAGACAGAGAGATGCCTTGAGTGCAAGGAATGTAGCTCTAACAGTCACCCCAGCAGAGAAAGGCTGTCCCATCACGGGGATGGTTCAAAAAGAAGATGGAAGTCCATCAGCCAGGGATTGCAGGTGGGAGGTTCAACATGACAATTTTTTTCAGACTTGTTTCAGTCCACAAATGTCACCTGGAAAATATATCCGGGCTGGGCGGGGTGGTGCACACCTGTAATCCCAGTGACTCAGAAGGCTGAGGCAGGAGGATCACAAGTTCTAGGCCAGTCTCAGCAATGTAGCGAGGCCCTAATCAATCTAGTGAGAACCTCTTTCAAAATAAAAAGGGCTGGGATGTGGCTTAGTGGTAAAGTGCTCCTAGTTCAATCCCTGGTACTGGGGACAGGGGAGGAGAAAATAATACATTAGGAATTGAACCACTCTTGACCACTGACAATGCTTCCACTCCGTGCACAGCTGCCATGATTTCATGCCTTAATTATTTTCATCACCTCCTAACTGGTACCCTTGCTTGCAACCCCTACAGTCTATACTCAACACAATAGCTCAAGCAAGCCTGCTAAAATAGAAGTCAATCATGTCATTCTGCTCAAAATCCTCAATGGTTTTCCATTTCTCCAGAGTAAAAGACACACCCTCCAATCACCCAGAAAGCCTGATACACTAGGTAAAGTCCCCTCAGCACCATTCCATATCTTTTCTGATCCTATCTTCTATTACTTCCTTACTCTGACTCATCTGTTCACTCACTCTGGTCCAGTCACACAGGCCTCCAGTGAGTCCTTTAACACCCAAGGACCTCTCAGGACTTCTGCACTGGCTGTCCCCTCTGCCTGGAGGCTCCTTACCTAGATGGCCTCATGACTGACTCCCTCACCTCCTCTAGTCTCTGTTCAGAACCTCCCCCCCAGGAAGGCCCCTTGACAACCTTAGCCAAAGGTGCAACTCCCTCCATCAGCTGCCTCTCCTGCCTTTATTTTTTTTCTTAGCACAGATCCTTCCTATGCTGTTTAATGTCAATGCTTGCACCCGACTGAAAGCTGCCCGAGGAGATGAAATTTTGTCCATTGATGTATCTCCAGTGCTTAGAATAGTGCCTGACATCCGGGACACTCAGTGACCAAATGCTTGCACAGCACTGCCATGTGGCTAGAGGAGTCCCACACAGGCACCTGGGTTTCAAGGGAGTGGAGATAATTCTGTTGGTCGGGTGGACTTGTTCTCTTCCATCCTGTCTCTGGTCTGACTCAGCCCTTGCATTTCAACCTCACAGCCTTCCCATTACTGGGCCCTGATTCGAGGTGCCAGTCATGGTCATAGAGCCTATCTGATGTTGTGAACCTCCTTCCCTTTCTACTTTCTTCCTTTTCTATTCTTTCTCTCACTTTATGGTCCCTGAGCTGTCCCTGACATTTGCTGAAGGGGTGAGGTGAGTCACAACCTTTCTCAGGTGCAGTGGGATGGGATCAAGTACTCAGAGCAGGCAGAACCAGCTGTTAGCACTGGGGAATGAGAGGAAAGCAAGGGTGACAGCAAAGCACACCAGCGGTCACCTCCTTTCCTCTCCTTCTTGCCCTGGTCTTGTTGCCTCAGTGGCCCCCTCCTCTTGGCTGCAGAAAATTTCAAGGGAAGTTTGTGAATGGGGAAGTTAAATTAGATGAAATACTAAAACATCTCTGCAGTCCGAGATTTTATGATCCCAGGCTTCTGCAGTGATAAAATAAATTGGGCTTCACCTTCTTTGGAAGTAAAAGGCAGGGGTTCTGCTCAGATTTCTGCAGCCATTATTAAGACCTTGTAATTCCCATAAAGATGGAATGGAGAATTTTCAGATTCTTCCTCCACCTGCTCCCCAATACCCCACCCTTTCTCAGATCCAGCAGGGATATTTGGAGTGAGACCTTACCGCTTGGTCCAGGAGTCCGTTCTCATCTGAGTCATAGAGACGAAACATGACTGCAAGAAACACAGAGGTCAGGCTTGAAGTGTCCTGGTCAGGGGCATGCAGTGCATGCTGCTTACTCCCTGAGCAGATGGTCGAATAACAGAAGAAGGATGGAGCTTCCCATTAACCTTGTGCTGGACTCTGGGCCCAGGTGACTGTCTAACAAACACCTCTTTAGGGTCCTACTGGGTATGAACCATAGAACTAGAAGGAGCTGAGGGAACAGCCCCACCTTCAGTGATGGGCCATCGGGCAAGTCTTTCAACCTTCCTGTGCTTACATGTAAAACAAGAATAATCCTATCAAACTTCTAGGAAAATGAAAATGACAAAATGCACTTAAACTAAGTAGCAAATATAAGGTGTTTAGGGATGAGAGTATTACTGTATTGGCAATAGTTGAGATTTCAGATTATTACTTCCCAAAAGGCACATGCTTGGGTTTTTAAAAGAAAGCTTGTTCTCAGTCACTAAAATTAGGGAAAGATTTGAACTGATGTCTTTAAATTAAAAATGAAAATGAAAAGACTCTACAGAATATGTGGCCAAATTACTATAACCCAAATTTGCAAGGAAAAAAATTGGCAAAATGGAGAGGGAAACAAGAAATTAAAAGAGAAGAAAGAGACATAATAACCAATGGCAACATATGGACTTTTTTTAGATTTGGATTCAAAGAAACAATTAAAAATACATACATAATTCAGAAAATGTGAATCCTGGCTGAATATTTGACAATAGCAAGGAATCATTGTCTTTAGATGTGATAATAGTGATGTGGTTCTATTTAAGAAGGAACCAGTGATTTTAGAGGCACATGCTGAAATATTTACAGATGAAATTGTATGATTCCAGAAATTTGCTTGGAAATAATTTGAAGCAGAGGGAAAGGTTGGGAGGTATTAACAAAACAAGAACGACTAGAAGTTGATCTTGTTGGAGCTCAGTAAGACCTATGTGTGTGTTCACTACTCTTTACCTATATCTATTTTCAAGATTTTTTTATAATAGGGCTAGGGTTGTGGCTCAGCGGTAGAACACCCATCCAGCATGTGCAAGGCCCTGAGTTTGATCCTCAGCACCACATAAAAATAAATAAATAAAATAAAGGTATTGTGTCCACTGCAACTAAAAAGATAAATATTTTTTTATAATAGAAACTTTGAAGTTTCTTCACTTTGCCATTTCAAGACTCAGACTGAGAGTCACTAATATGAAGAATTTGCTACCTTCACTTTGGTTATTAATAAACATAATGCCTAAAAGTCAAAATCCAGCTCAATGTTGAAAATGATTTGACATTTCACTTTTAACATTAGCCAGCAGAAAACAGAAATCTGCTACATTTGCTACCAAATTAGCACTTAAGACTTGCAATTGTTAACACCTCAAACCTATGGGGGAGATTTTAAGCTGGGCTAATGAGCAAACTGTTTCATTTTGTTTTTGGCAGGGTTAACCTTTGGCAGACTTCCTGTGCTAATGTTTAAGTTTGGTTGGCTAGTCTCATTACTAAATGGAATTTCAACATTTGCTATAAAGTATATGTTTTTTTTTTCCTTCCTGTCTACTTAAGGTCCCAAGAGAAGCAAAGACAATAGGTACTTCTTAACAAGGTCCCATCATCCTCTGATCTGAAAAGCATGCCCGCAGGCTCAGAGGCCAGTGAAACAACTCCTGGGCCGAGTCCTCTTCAATCTGCAGGCTCTCTCTGCCCCAGCTCTTACTGTCTTCGTGAAGATCTGTTTTTGAAACCATCTTTGTAGCACCATGAAATCAAGTTCAATTCCAATTAATTAATCCCCTTTCTCCAGAGACCAAAGAGCTTGTGGGTAGAGAGTGAGGGACAAATGGAAATAAACCTTACCATGGCAGAGGTCGATTAGAGCCCAAGGGAGAGGGGAAAAATTCCTCATGGTTAAAGAGTCGCTTATTTATGAATTAGGGGAGGAAAGGAGGTCAGATATTGAAGATTTTTTCCTTGAAAAATCCATCAGAGGAGGCAGCAGCTTTCGAGTTAGAGGCTTTCAGAAAGCCCTGCCAGCCAAGCAAAGGAGTCTTGACCCTTGGATGAGCACTTCTACCCTTTCCAAATTCTGGTTCTTACAGCCAACGTCTTAGATGCCCTTCCTACTCTCTATATAAGTGACACTGTGTCTTAGGGTGGGTTTTAGGAAATGTTCCTATCGCTGCTGGCAGTAGGACAGAGGAACCTCCCCCAAAGAGGTAGGACCCATATGACCCATATCCATGAGCCTAGATCAATCTTCAGTGTGTTAAAGAATGATTGACAAGATCCCAGATCCTCCTCTAGGAAATAACCAAAGCTCCCTTGAGAGGGTGAATACTTACACTCTAGTTTGTCTTGAGGTCTCCCCGTCTCCAGCAGGGAGAGGTAACACACCACATCCTTCAGGTACACTACGGGGGATTCTGGGCTTGAAGATGGAGCAGCTGGTGCTCCCAGGGGGGTTGCAGCCACTTGGTTTTTAGATGGTGCTTGCTTCTCCACCATTTTCAAGTCTGCAATGGGAAAAAGGAGAGCATTCAAGGACACTTTCTATTTAGTACTAACCCTCTTTGTTTCCCCAGTCTCTTCGTGGTAGAGATTAAGAATTTAATATTGGTGTCTTCAAAAGCTTGAGTTACATAAACATGTTCAAATCAGTGGTCCTAGAGATCCAGTTAATGGAGGTCATACTCTCTGGACTTTATTCTGACCCTTTTAAGAGTCTATTTCCTTGTAAGAAATCCATCTATTCTTGGTAACTCTTCAGAAAAAAATGATAGTGACTCTTGATAATATTAATAGCCTGTAGGTGAGTGTCATTTAGTTTACTTTTTGGGAACACACTCAACTTGTAGAAATAATTTTGGCATTTCAAGATGGAAAGTCATCAGTAGTCACCAATAGACTCATACTTTTATTCTTAAACTCATTTAAAGACAAAGAGATGAATATTCAATAGAGAACGGTAGAACTGAAAGTCGAATAATTGCCAGAAACTAGGAAGAACTCTGACTAATTGCAAGCCTAATTAGTTGATTAAAGAAAATGCAGAACATGACTTATTGTTAGTTTGGATCTGGAAGTGTCCCAAAGGCTCATGTATTGAGGACTTGGTCCACAATGCAGCAATGTCAACAGGTGGGGCTCTGGGGCAGTGACTGGGTCAGGAAGGCTCTAATCAATCCCATCAGTGGACTAGTCAGTCTATTGGTGGGTTCAAATTGAAAGGAAGGTGGCAGAAACTGGAAGAGGTGGAGCCTCATTGCAAGGAGCGAGTACTTGGGAGTGGTGCTTTGGGGACTATATTTCATCCACCAACCTCATTTCTCATTTCAAGGAGGTGAGGCCATCTATTCCAGTCCTTCCCTGAGATGATGTTCCACCTCACCACGGGCCCAAAAGCAATGAGGCCAGGCAACTATGGACTGAAACCTCTGAAACTGTGGATCAAAATAAATCTTTCCTCTTTTGCTTTTCTTCTCAGGTATTTTTGTCACAGCAATAAAGCTGACTAATACACTTATTGTAACCCAAGAATACAGTAAGTTTTCCCTCTAAAATTTTCCCTCTTAGAAGAATTCTTTTCCTCCATACTGTGTTCTAGTTCAGAAATATAAGATCTAAATAAGAAACCCGAGCAGCTATATTTTACTGTATAAATTCTATTTTTTTTTTTTTTTTACTTTTTTGGGGGAGGATACTAGGAATTGAACCCAAGGGCACTTTACCACTGAACTACATCTCCAACCTTTTTTTATTTTGAGACATAGGCTTGATAAGTTGATGAGAATGGCCTCCAACTTGAGATCTCCTGGCTCAACCTCTCCAGTCGCTGGGGTTACAAGCATGTGTCACTTCATCCAACATGAATTCTATTTTTTGAGGTATCTTGAGTGTCTTCTCTTATTCCTCAGCCTCTCTACTTCCATACCCATTAGAAATGACCACTTTATACCCAGCAGGAGTGTACAGCTCCCAGAAAACAACTAACCAGGGAAGAAACAGAAGACTGGCAGTAGGAAATACATGTTGTGTGTCATAAAACCACCAAGTAATACAACTTTGGCAAGTGATGAGTGCTGAAGATGGAGAGAGAGAGAGAGAGAGAGAGAGAGAGAGAGAGAGA